TTTGGCGCTTTACTTACCAGAAATGTCACGACAATTGAATGAAACAAAAAAAAAATAACTTTTTTTTCTTTCTCAATAAATTAAAGAGAGAAATACGAAACAAAAACACAATTTTTTTAGTTCTTTTCTTGTTTACAAAGAAGAAAAATAATGATGAAAAAAAATTAAATTGGGTTTGAAAGTGGTTGGATGTGGGTGACTTAGACGCATTGCAACCAGAATTGTTTTTTTTCTTCTTATATCAATGAGGATTCAAAGTTTTAATAATATGAATAGAAAAGGACAAGATTAACCAAGCTCATCCGTCCAAATAATCATAAACCAAAACAGTCAATAGAAAACAATCAAATTTTCATTTAAAATAAGTTCGAAACATATGAAAAAGTCTAAATCATTCACCGACACCTATAATTACAAGCTAATCATGAGCAAGTGTACAAACCATAGCTCAATTAAACAACTTCCTTTCCGAAAAACTCCGCTAAAATAACGAAACAATAAAATAACATAAGAAAAATGTGGAAGAATTTTGAAACAATAAGAAGAAATGAAAATTGAGGGAAAATGTGCTTACGGTTACTATCGTATATATTTATACGATCATTACATAGTAGTAGCTTGTGTAGTAAAAAAAAAGTCAGTCTCTATTGACCATCAAAATATTATTTCAAATCGATTAAAAGAGCGAGAGGGAGCAGAATCGTGCTGATTTAAAAATATCTAAATTATATTCACATTTTCCGTATTATTAACCGATTTTTGTTTGCCTATGGACCGCACGCACATGATTTTCATCCGAAATGTCGGAATCGAGTCTGAGTGAGTTAAGCTGTGAGAAGAAAATATAAATTTTCTCATCATATGACATAACGCAGACGATGTTAGGGAAGAAAAAAAAAACACAAATTTACTGTAAACAGATGCTAAGATAGATTTTTGATCATATCCAGTACTCATACTCGTTATATTTATATCAAAAATGGAGATTCTTTATAATTTATGCTACTGTTTTATTTTACCTTGTTAGCAATTCTATTAAAAATTCTATTTTCTGAGATCAGAATTCATAAGTTCTTTTATATTACACAAACAAAACAAGCTGCAAACAATTCTGTTTATTTCATAAAAAATGAGAAGAAGAATAAGAAGAAAATGAGTAATTTGAATGGAATGAAATCATTGAGAAAACTAACACGTTCACAGTCAATACTCTTGAATGGATAATGAAGCTTTTACATATTGATAAAGTTTCTTTTATACAAGACATTTAGCGTCGTGCAATAATGATGTACATCATTAGGTTGTAGCTTTTAGGTATACCCTAGTCATGTATTCTAGTTCTAGCTTAGATAATGTTGGAGAAACCGGCTTTTGACGAACCTCCATTTCAAAACTCTGGACTCTTGACGTTACAAATGAACCATCCCTTATTAGGTCTTTTATTGTTCAATTGAATAGATTATATTTAGAATAATTGATCAGATTTTCCCAACGATGAGAAGTTATGTGCCTTGCTATGCCAAACGTGGTGTTAAATAATCTCAAACTAATGTTGTTTTCTTCACCTCATGTGAAATGTTTTCGAGTTTTTGCTGTATAGACGATTTATTTTAATTTTGTTGATGTGATTTGAAATGGGTATGAATGAAGGAATTGACAATTGTTTAATGTTATGCCTGAACACGGTTTGAATTAGATTGAATAATGGAAAATGGATGTAAATTTTCTACTTTGGAAGTTTTACGACTCGCAAAAAGTGTTTAAACTCTCAAGTTTTTAACCTCAAAAAAATACTCAAAAATTCTATTAAAAATTTCATATCCAATGATTTTTGATAACATATTCTCAAAAGCCATAAATCTTATACTGAAAAGTCCTTAGAGTATCATAGGGTGTCATCATCTCAGAAATTATGTCACTTGAGAACTTTTTTTGCGCATTAATATAAATCTCAAAAGCTTTAAATTTCAATTTAACTCAATTATTAGTCAGCTTCACTTCTTAAAAATGATTTAAAGTCATTTTATTCATGACTTATTATATTTAGTGATTCAACTTATTCTGACAGGAAATGAATAGAATTCTTAAAATAGCTATTTATCTGATAAATTTATTTAAAATATATTCAAATTTCCGATTTTAATTGATTAAAAAAAAATAAAAAAGGAAGAAAATAATCGTTATAATTAAAGATTTGATTCTGGTGAGAATCGAACCCAATTCTTTAAATATGAGCAAAGTTGACAGTAACTTTTACATTGTCTGTCATTTCCACTTTAAAAACTTCTATTCTAATTCTACTAAATCGCCTACCTATGATTAAAACAAACTTATTCAACCAATCATTCACAAACTTAACAATCCATCAGTTAAGCATTCTCATTTAACAATATTTATGGAAACTTTCGCAAATATTTAGCACAACCTTATCAAGAGAGCATAATCACAGCTATAAATTTCAAAGCAACATAACACTCGGTTAAACCGTTATCCACCAACTAAATTATGATATTAACTTAATTATGCCCAAAAAAGCTTTCGTGTAAACTTTTTTTTTTTGATGATGACAAAAACTGATATGAGGTCTTTAACTCACTCAATGAAATAAATACGGAAGCTTTCTGAAATTTTCTTTTGTTAATTTCTTTCGAATAATCAAGCAAACAATATTAATCATTTTTGTTATTCTCGCTGCTGGATTTTTGTCCATTACTTTGATTTTTCTATAATTATTGTGCTACAAAACAGAGTCAATTATCTGAAAATGATGTGCGCTCAGTTTTCTGAGCAATAATGTTGTTATAACTTAATCAAATAAAATTGAATGAGCATTGTGATTGTAATATAAAATGAATATTGTTGTTCATTCATCAGAAATTATGATTTGTTTTACTAGATTATTGATTCGTCAAGAATTCAGGAGTAAGTTTCTTTGTGTGTCTTAGCTTCACTTAGTTTCTACTCCTAGAATGCTTTACTAGCTTGCTTTTCTACTCTAGAATATGAGAGTAAACCCTACTTCAATAGAGCACCGAAGAGAACCTAGTCTATGATAAAGTAGGGTTTACTCAAGAATTTTGAGTCAAGATATGAACTTGCGTTTGATCAAATATCCTGCAAAATCAACATTTCCATATCTCAATCAAATTGAATTCTAATCGCATGCTGAAAAATCATCGAATTGTAAATATGTATATGGAATATCAATCAAATATAAAAGAATCGAGAAAATATTGCTCATTAGGTCATCGTATATAAAATAAAATTTAATTGTTATAGCATCTCGATGGCTTTTAAGACGCCAAATTTGACATTATTCGGACAGTTTGCAACTAATTATAATTTTTTTCTGTGTCTAACGAAATTGTGCTGTACAATGAATGAGAAGTAAAGCGAAGAATAATTAAGGATGGGCACTGTGCCATATATTTTAAAAACTTTATATATCCAGCAGTTTCTCTTCATTTGTATCTCCACACCATCAGCAGCATCAATTACTCACTCCAAACAAAAAGTTGGAATTGCCTCTCGATGTGATAAAATGAAAATATTTTTCGTGTGTTTAATTGCACAAAAATTAAATGAAATTTAATTAAAATGCACAAATCGTACGATTTTTCTCTCTGTTGCATGCACATTTTTTTTTACCATTGTGTCTCCCCATGCTGGAGCCTATACCACTTAAATTCAATTTTTATTCTTTCCTGTCACCAATTGCATGTTGTAAGTCATTCTAAAAATACATCATTGGAGGGTGGGTGTGGGGGTGTAGGAACTAAAAAGCGAGAAAAAATGTGGAAGAAGAAGTTATTTCCATTTTTTTTTTCCTTTTGGGGGTTGATACTATATCGTCGGTCTCAGCCGATAGACTGAGAAAATGTACACATTGTTTAAAAGCATCGGACGAACTAAATTGTTGCTGAGCGTGTAGTCAGGCTGGCGACATGGCAGTAATACGGCACATTATATGAGTTTTTCACTCAATTCGCTCGGTCATTAATGTTTGTTTGTTCTATCGTGTGTATCTATGGATGTGTGGGAAAAAGAAACTATTATTAAGTGGGGGTGATTCGAGGAAATTTAGGCACTTTTGACAGGAAAATTTTCATATTGATTTTCCACACGTTTTTATAGCGTGAAGATATAGAGCAACATGTTCGCAGGTCGATGATCTAAAATTTTCTTTATTACATGTTTAGACATGGAATGAGATTCATGCATTATTTAGAGGGAAATTTGAGGTTTCATTACTTGAAATATTCATGATCATAATGATTATCGAGTCTTGTTGCTGTAAATATTCTATTACTATCGATGCATTAAAATTGAATGCCAATAAAAGAATAAATTTTTGATTAGGAAAGCGATTCATGGAAGTAAAATGAATTGAATAATACTTTGTGTCGTGAGTGCGTTCAAAATTTTTCCCCTAAAAATTGCATTAAGTTTCATTTTGCCTCAAAAGTGCGTTCAGTAAAAATTGCCTCAAGAGTGTGTTTAGGAAAAATTTAATTATTTTAAACAAATTTTCAAATTAAATGTCATGAAACCTCGGAAATTGCGATCAATTTCTCAAAATTGTTTCCTTAATATCCACACAAGTCATATCACTCTTTTTTAACAAAAATTGAACATTCAACCACACATATCCGCAAAATTAAATTATGACTTCGACAGAATAATACCACACTCTCGACATTAACCTCCTACTTGCATGCAATATAGAAAAAAATTGCTAGTTTTCTATACAAAGCGGCATGTATTGTGTTGCGTCATGTCTTTACCCTCAATTATCACGAGACAACCATTGAAATGCCATTGAACTTGCCTTGTTCATGACGTAATTATATGCTATAAACCTTCTTTCGTGATTATTTGATTTACGAGAATCGGCAAAGTTCTAATAATTTTCGCGAGAATGAACCAAAAGTTTCGCAATTATCAATTATAATCATGCCAACCTCTTTCTAATTTATTGACCTTTTTTTTTCTACTTCCAGAAAATCTTATCAACCGAATAAATCAGCGTGAAACGAGAGAAAAAAAGGCAAAAAATTTAAAAGAAGAACGAAACTCAAATGCCAGGCGAAACAGGAACAAAGTCGCCAGTTGCGACGTCACCGCAGCCTCAAAAGAAAGCACCATCGTCAGCTAGTCGAGCAGCATTGGCAAAAGTGACACTCCTCGATGGATCAACATTAGATGTCACAATCGACCGTAAAGCAAAAGGACGTGATTTATTGGCTTCAGTATGTTCAGGACTCAATATTGCAGAGAAAGATTATTTCGGTTTGTTGCTGCAAACACAACCAGATCCACGCATATGGATTGATCTTGAACGTCCATTATCGAAATATTTTAAAAGTGATCCATGGATTTTGGATTTTGCAGTTAAATTCTATCCACCTGAGCCCGCTCAATTGCATGAAGACATCACCCGTTATCATTTGTGCCTTCAAGTACGCAATGATATCCTTGAGGGAAGACTCCCATGTTCCTTTGTTACACACGCCTTATTAGGCTCATACTTGGTGCAATCTGAACTTGGTGATTATGATCCAAATGAGATGCGCGATAAAACTTATTTGAAAGATTTCAAAATTGCACCAAATCAAACATCGGAACTTGAGGAAAAAGTTGTTGATTTGCATAAAACACATAAAGGTCAAACACCAGCCGAAGCAGAACTTCATTACTTAGAGAATGCCAAAAAGTTGGCTATGTATGGAGTCGATTTACACCCAGCCAAAGATTCTGAAGGCGTTGACATAATGCTTGGTGTTTGTGCTTCAGGCTTGCTTGTTTATCGCGATAAGTAAGTTTACTTTTCATAATATAGTTACTAGGGCATGACCTCGTCAAGAATTATGGAAATTTGAGATTATTTTATGGGTGCGATATGAGAACTTATGAAATTATTTCCACATGACACATTTATGTGGTATTTTTGGAATGAAATTTTTGCGATCATTGGGTTTATATTTCATGCAAACATAACATTTAAAGATTATGACGTAAAATTTAAGGGTGTACTTATGTTGTCCATACCGTACGTGTTGACTATGTAAAACCTTACTTGGGTATAATGTTTTGATATTTTTGCTTGATTTTTTTCAATAAAAACCCATCCAAAAGAGCCCACAAAGAAGAAGATAAATGAAAAATTGCATAACAAAGTCATGAAAGGAACTCAACACACCCACATAATGGAATTTTAAATTGCTGATGAGCAGCCTGTCATTTATTATACTCATGTCATTAGCTTCCATTATGCTCTTTTTTTTATCATCTATCTACTTGTTTATCTATCCACATTCTTTCCGTTATCATACAATAAATTAAATTTCAATTTTTTTTTTTCACTTCCTTCTACCATCAACATAGATTGCGCATTAATCGTTTTGCATGGCCGAAGATCTTAAAGATATCGTACAAGCGAAATAACTTTTATATCAAAATTCGTCCGGGTGAATTTGAACAATATGAAGCAACAATTGGCTTTAAACTCGCAAATCATCGTGCAGCTAAGAAATTGTGGAAATCATGTGTTGAACATCACACATTCTTCAGACTTATGACACCCGAGCCTGTCCAGAAATCATCATTATTCCCAAGATTTGGTTCAAAATATCGCTATTCAGGTCGTACACACTACGAAACGAAGAAGGCACCCGTCGAGCGTGCACAGCCAAATTTCGAGAGAAGCTTGACAGGAAAGAAGCTTTCAAGTCGCAGTATGGATGGTAATAAGAAAATATGATTGACATGACGTATAGATTACTAATTCTATTATAAAATTGTTATATTGAATAGCTTTGGCGTTAAAGGAAGATCCAAAAGAGAAAGAGAATAAGCGTCACACAATGTCACATCCACCAGATCATATTCCAGAACTCGATTCACCACGTCAATCACGTAGTCCCATAAAGAAGGAGAAGAAGGAAAGGGTGAGTGTTCTGTCATCTATATAGACATTAATTAACATTCCTAACCGTACATAATATTTCATTAACGTTATTCTTTTGGTGATTGGAACTAAATTTCACTAAACTCAACATACTTTTTGGATATAATTTCGTTTCCTTCGGTTTCATTTTACTTGTTTTTTTTTTTATTAATTCTCATTTATTTATCTTCTTTCTAATCGCGTGAAAATAATATTGTTTTGGGCAAGATCAAAAATGAATTGTTCGTGACGCTAAGCAATAATTTACAATTTTTGAATCAATAATGCGAAGTATGTATTTAAGACTTGTGTTTTTCTTGAAGTCCTTGCCAAGACCAATATTTTGGTGTATAACAAGTATCTCTTAGACATTGTATTATAATTAAAAATTAATTTAAAGTGCTAAGCGTCACGAACAATTTTGAGGAAATTCGATTTTACACCATGTTACTAATGCAATATCTCTGCAACTGATTCACCAATCTTAAAAATTCTTTCACTGAGTAATTAAATGATCAGAATAGTGAATTACTTGCATAAAATTATTAATATGGCGGTATTCTAAGTTAGCTTAATTAATGTTTTAAATGTTTAGGTTGAAATTTCTATATGAAGGAAACATCTTAATAACTAGCTTTTAATACAAAAAAGCTAGCAAATATGACTGTCTTTAAGTTTATAAAAGAAAATTTTAAGTTCTACTTTAATTAACAAAGTTACAGTGAGTTTAAGAAAACTTCTATTAAACCATTACTGTTTTATTATTTTAATGATCTCTCAATTTGAAACTATAACAATACATTAGATGCATCTTTTTTCAAAAGAAAAACTTAAAAATATTTATGGAAAGTCAAGAAAATCATAAAAGTTTGAATAATAAAACCAAAATATTTGTAACGGCTTTGAAAATTTCAAATTTTGTGTGAAATCATGAGCAACACAGAGCAAAACATGTTGCTCAATTGAAATTACAATGTTTTTAAGTTAATTTAACTCGATTTTAAGCATTTTCACCATACAATTACAATACGCAATGACTTTTTAATTATTTAAAAATTGTATTCGGTCAACTAGAGTTAGTATTTTTGCTGAAAAAGGATTTTTTTCAACAAGTTGATTTTTTGTTAAAATAACTAAATCTATTGATTTTTATTAAGCTTTAGTCTGATGTTATGATAGAAAATATCATAATCTACAACTTTTGTCAAGGACTTGAACATTAAGCTTGCTTTTTTCTTGAAGAAAAATCAATTCCAAATGTGAATTTGTTAATTAAGCTAACTTATTAAGCCGCCTTTTTTAAAAATGAAATTAAAAGTTAAACTTTCTGAAATTTGCTTTCGACCTGTGAAAAAATCATACAAACTGGATGCTTGGTAGCAGAGAAATCAGCATTTGAAGATTTTTTCCCTTTTTTTCTGATCTTGCCCTTTTTTTTCTTATTCTTCTTCTCTCTCTCACACAAAAATTATGCTAATTAACATTACTGAACATAACGTAAATCCCCAATTCTCGTCTATATCAACCAAATCGTCCTTATTCAATTAACTTTAATGTCATTTCGTGTTTTGTTATATTTTATATTAATGTGTTCATGCATATATGCTATACTAACAATAGCTGAAGCGCGAATCTAGCACAGGAACGGCTTCAGCATCATCACAAAGTTCATTGGAAGGGGAATATGAGACTTCTGGATCGATTGCTATTGATCAGGTTCATAATAAACATTTAACATTAATTAATGAAGTGAAAAAAAACGTAATGCATTTGGTGTTTTTTTTTTGCTTTTATGGTGCATGACGTGCCTGCCTGCATATATACTCTTTTCTCTATTTAAAAGTTTTAACGAGCAGAATTATTACAATAGAATGCATTTTTCCAATTAATCTTTTTTTATGGTATGTGAGATACTATACAATTTTGTGTGGTCTGAAGTTGAAGTTAAAATGTGAATACTTAATTTGAAACGGTTTTTAAAAATTTGAATATTAAATGGATTTTCAACATTTAAAAATTTCTACAAAAATTTGGTAATCTCGGTAAATTTTGAATACTTTAAAACCGTTGGATTTTAACGGATTTTATAGTTCAATTTTTAACTGTTTTTTGAAGTTTCTACAAATAATTCAAATTTTACAAGGCCGTTAAAAATTTAAAAGTTTTAAAAAAACACTTTTCTCATCTTTAGACCACAACTAAGTACAGAAAGCAACAAAAACAACAGAAATAAAGTTGTTTCGCTTCAATTTTTTAAATGCAAAAAAGTGTTTAATGTTTTTTCTGTACAAAAAGTGCTTGCGCTTCTAAAAAAGTTCATTACATGAAACTCGTGAATATTTTATGTTTTCACGAGTGGCTTTACAAATTTTTTTCTCTCTCTATTTAATGAGATTTTTGCTTACTTTAACGAATTTTTTTTTATAAAGTTTGTTTTTTATTTGTTTGGTAACTTTAGATCAGAGTTGGCACGACGCTGAGCGCCCGGACGGTAAAAACGCTAAACGGTGGACGCTTTTTGACTGCAGCCGGTAGTTTTTTTTTTGCCGGCAACCGGCAAAAACGGCTACCGACATTGCCGGTCGCCGGCAAAAACGGCGACTGGTAAGACGCTGAGCGTCCAAAAAATGAAAATTTTAGAAAATTTTCTATTAACAATGAAAAATGTTGGGAATGTTGATTTAAAATAATAAAAGTAGTTAAATATGATTAAAACTTGTAAAAAACTAGTGTATCGGGTAGAAACCCAATGCGGATTATATTCACACCGTACTATCATAAGTCTTATGGATAGACCAAGATTTGCCCATCATAAGTATGAAGGTATGAAGCTTGATAAGTCAACTAAGCTTCGCTCAGCATAAGTTTGAAGTTATAAAGCTATCGCGTAAGCTGAGCTACGCCCATCATAAGTATGAAGGTATGAAGCTTGATAAGTCAACTAAGCTTCGCTCAGCATAAGTTTGAAGTTATAAAGCTATCGCGTTAGCTGAGCTACGCTCAGCATAAATTTGAAGATATGAAGCTAGAGAGGCAGCTGAGCTTCGCTCAGCATAAGTTTGAAGTTATAAAGCTATCGCGTAAGCTGAGCTACGCTCAGCATAAGTTTGAAGATATGAAGCTAGAGAGGCAGTGGAGCTTCGCTCAGCATAAGTTTAAAGATATAAAGCTAGAGTGTCAGCTGAGCTACGCTCAGCATAAGTTTGAAGTTATAAAGCTATCGAGTCAGCTGAGCTACGCTCAGCATAAGTTTGAAGGTATAAAGCTTGACGAATATGCCAAATATTCTTTAAAAGTTTTTTAAAAAAAATTTTCATCCAAAGTTGAATTTTATAAAAATCACAGTCAACTTTTGTTTTAAAAAATTCGTAAGAAAGGAAAGTTTTTTGCCATTTCTGAAGCAACGGCTGTTCCTACCTTGCCCAAAAACAATACAGCTCTTCTATAGAGTAGCACGGATCAATTGTAAAAAACTAGAAGTCTCTACGATGTCTCGTTATTGAGATTTCTTGCTGATTAACTTGCTTGCTTGCTTGCTTGCTTGCTTGTTTGCTTACAGAAATCGTATTTTGCGATTTTCTCAGCAATGCCACAACCAATTTGAAATCTGTTTTTTGAAAATGATGTAAAATTTCAGGCACAAACTTTTCTTCTTGCCCTTTTATAACCAATTTTGCTTTGTTTTCTCACAAAATGCGAAAAACTGATTTTTCAATCTGAACAAAACCAATAGATTCACACGTGAAAACGGTGTGAATATAAAAAATTTCGACTTAACAAAAAAAACTTACACTTAAAAAGAAAAATAGTTTAAACATAGCAATAAAAAGAAAAATTTAGAATCTGCAGCAATTATTTTATCGTTTGTTATGATTTTCGTTTTTTACCATTTTTCAAATAATTATAATATTAAGACACTCTAGCTCTATATCTTTAAACTTATGCTGAGCGAAGCTCCACTGCCTCTCTAGCTTCATATCTTCAAACTTATGCTGAGCGTAGCTCAGCTGACACTCTAGCTTTATATCTTCAAACTTATGCTGAGCGTAGCTCAGCTTACGCGATAGCTTTATAACTTCAAACTTATGCTGAGCGAAGCTCAGCTGCCTCTCTAGCTTCATATCTTCAAACTTATGCTGAGCGTAGCTCAGCTTACGCGATAGCTTTATAACTTCAAACTTATGCTGAGCGAAGCTTAGTTGACTTATCAAGCTTCATACCTTCATACTTATGATGGGCAAATCTTGGTCTATCCATAAGACTTATGATAGTACGGTGTGAATATAATCCGCATTGGGTTTCTACCCGATACACTAGTTTTTTACAAGTTTTATTCATATTTAACTACTTTTATTATTTTAAATCAACATTCCCAACATTTTTCATTGTTAATAGAAAATTTTCTAAAATTTTCATTTTTTGGACGCTCAGCGTCTTACCAGTCGCCGTTTTTGCCGGCGACCGGCAATGTCGGTAGCCGTTTTTGCCGGTTGCCGGCAAAAAAAAACTACCGGCTGCAGTCAAAAAGCGTCTGCCGACAATGCCTTCTGCAGGTTTTGCCTGTGGACGCTTTTCAGCACGCTTCCAACTCTGCTTTAGATTGCTTTGAATGAGTCATGTGCAGTATTCTAGGAATACAGTAATTGGCAGCCATGCATATGAGAGTGTTGTTTATTTTTGCGATAAAGTGTTATTTAAAATTATCAGGAAAATGATAAAATATTGACGAATCGATTAAGCACAAAGTAATGAATTTTACGCCATAAACAATTTAATATATTGAGTGTGTGTCTCTGTGTACATATTAAAAGCTTCAGAAACATCTTTTTTGCCCCTCTCGAAATACCATTTTGTAGATTGAGTTATTTATTTTATTCATCCGATCGATAAAGCTGTAAAAAATGTTCCTCTTATAGTTACTTGAGCAATTTTCCCAAATATTCATATTCAAATTTCGTTTCAAGACTCACTCAAGACTAGCTTTGAGAAATGAGAAAGGATGGATGTAGTCAGAGGGTACATACCGTACCTTATACACTAGCTATGAATGAAAACTTTAATCATTCATGAACCTTTAAAATTATCAAGAACTGTAAATCCATAAAAAGGCAACATTTTGAACCCTCTTCTGACTACATCCCTGAAGTAAAGCAAGTCAAGTCATCTGTGCACATTACCCATGAATATTTCACTGCCAAATTCACTTCATTTTTCAAAAAGTAAATAAGAAATAACTTCAAATGCACAAGAGAATTGAGTCAGTCATCATGTTACATTGACATTCATGATTCTTCCTTCCTTTTTCATTCATCCTTTGAGCACTTTTGACCGCAGCTTATATCCATACATATTGAGACTTGTAAATTTGATGTCGAAAATAAAACTTTTTTATTATCAAAGTTTCATTATCGATCCAACAACAACAAACAAATAGGAAAAAATGAAATATTTGAGGCAATGACAAGGCTTTGTTCATACAAACACACTCCACTGTTCTTCACCCTCAAAGTCACATCACATGATAAATGCTAATAAAATTGAAAAAAGTTAAGCACGACGAAAATGCGTTGTTATTAAGTTTGGCGCATTGTTGTTGTTAAATTAATTACTGTGTAGGTAAAGCTACTCGGAAGATATGTAAATTGGGAGATTTTTGTCACTAAACTACACGTGGAAGACGTGCTAATTGGATTAAAGATGCCTTAAAGAGTCTTAAAGCTATAAGTCACATTGGGAGTTCAGGAGGCTTGTTTGGGACTTAATAAGCTTTGTAAGAAATGTTTTAAATGAAATTTATTAGAAATATAGCCATCTGCTTACTTCTTCAGGACTGTGGTTCAGGTTTTAAAGAGTTTGAGTTTATTAGATTGAAGCAAACATGCGGTCACTACGAGTCTAGACCTCTTTAAACCCTTCAAATGATTATTGGGTACGTTGCTGCTTCAGCAACAGCTTTCACAGCAATAGTCCGCAAAATAGATATCTTGTGAATAAGTTCTTAAATTTTTTCTCATTAAATCTACTTTAAGGTAGTATAGACCAAACTTTTTCATTAGATAACGACAAAATTTAAGCCTCAGGCAACACTCAGCACGAAGAAAGAACTTTAATAGACAAAAACGACTATAAAAACTACCACAAAATCCCAAATAGAAAATGCGCAAGGAGAAATTCTTACTTCCTTTTGCTCTCAAACGAGAAACTATAAAACGTGCTGCAGTGACGGAGTAAATAAAATTGTGGGATATGGAATATGGCTTGTTGTTGTTGCGCTGTGTAATTTAATATTCCTTTCATTAACTATGTATCATGTGCACGCAACTGCTGGCCAAAAATTGCTCTCTTCCATTTCCTTCCTCATTTTTTTGTACCTTTAACATACTTTATGAACACTTCAAACGCAAATTGAACTTTTTTTTCTACTTTTTATTCTTAATTTTTTTTGTGTAATTGAAAAATTATATTTTGTGTCGTGTGATTTCGTTTCGTTCTTTGACAGTCTTGTTATATTTTTTGTGTGTGATTTCCCAAAAGTGAATATTTGGGGCACGAGTTTTATGCTTTTGAATAATTTTGTCTTTGAATTACTTTTCGTTCCTTTGTGTACATTAATTTTCTCCTCATTTTGTGTACTTTAAACGGTGTTATGTACTTAATTGTATATTTACTTAATAATTAATATATTTAGCACATAATTTTATTCTTCTTATTAAGATATGATTAAGTAATTATTCAGCATGTTTGAAATGATTTTTACCATACTGTGGCAATGTCGAAAATGACCGTTATTTTTTATTTGAAAAAAAAAATACCGTTAAAAATTTAAATTCTAAAAAACCGTTAAAATACTAATGCTAAAATAAACTTTGGAAATCTAAAGTAAAATCACGAATTAGACATGTTTTAACAATTTTGCATATTTTTAAAATTTTATTAGATTCATTTTGTTATAACAGAAAATCTAAGAGAATTTTGATGCGAATTTTTGCTTCTTATGGACAAATCTTACTTCGTGTGATAATTTTAATCTTAAAGTTATAAATTTTTGAAGAAAATCATCAGATATGTTTTCAAATACTTTAAAATATCAAAATTGATTAAATTATGACTGAAATTTTTATTTGTTTACTTTTATTTTTTGATTTCTTTCAACGGTCAAAAAAAATTTAAAATTTCGACTTTCCTTCGACATTTTTAAATCCTTCGACACTGAGTGTCGAAGGAATTCGACACTCAGGTTGCCACAGTATGATTTTTACAAAGCTTTGTTTAATTACTCTTTACACTTTTCATAATATTACAATTTGTTTTTCTTATCGTGATTTGATAAGAATAGGGATTCTCGAGGCACTGGTATTTGTTTTATATAAATTATCGTGTGATTATTGAAATTTTCTAGTACCAGTGTCTGTAAATATCGAGAATGCCTAGACAAGATACAGCAACTCTCAGGAAAAACGTCAATTTCTTTGACAGATTTTTAAATTTACAACATTTTAGATCTCTTTGCTTTAGAACAGAACTCAAGCTTAGTCCAGAAAATCTAAAACTGAGAATTTAACATCATTATCGCTATTTTGAGTTTTTGCAGAAATCAATTTTGTATCTTCAAGTCTTAAACTTCATGAAGATTAGTAATATGCCTTAAATTAGCTTTAAGTCGAAATTTAAAAAAAAAAAATTTGAATGTTCTAAAATTTCTATACAAAGAATTTTGACCCTCAAAGACTAGTTTAAACCTAAAAGTTCTATTGAGAGTTGCTATTGACAAGAGGATTCATTCATAACTTAAAAAGCTCTGCTTAATGCTTTCTATTTTTGGGTCTTTCCCAATAAATTTTCAAACATCAATGACGTTGGATTATATTCCCAAAAATTTTTGATTGGATTTCCCTCATCAAATTTTAATTAATCAGAAAATCACTCAAAACTAATTAAAAAGAGAAACTATGCAAGTAAATAATACTCAGCTGTCCAGAGCAAGCATGTTCTGCATAGTTTCATAGTGATGCGATTAAAATAATCCAACGAATGCAATATAAATCAATTTAAGCCTACAATAGCATGTAAAATAAGTGCTTTTTATAAAAACCGCTTTTAATCCAATTTGCAATGAATTAATCCTCGATTTTCTCTGTCCTTAATTCAAGTGATAAAATGTTATACTGTTCAGCTAATTAATTCAATTTCGAAATTTTCATTTCTCCCCTATTTTGTTTTGTTAATGATAAAACAACAGAAACCAGCTGGTGGCGTAGCCGTATTGCCTGTTAGAGAAAAGGAACCAAAAGAGAAAGAACAAAAACCAACAAAGGAAGAAGGACTCAATGGTAAGTAGAAAGAGAAAATCAATCAAATTGATACTAAACTCCATTTCCTCATCGTGCTCATGCTCAACAGGCAAACAAGAGAAAGATCCAAATGAATCATTGGATAAATCAAATGAAGAAGGCAAACCGGAGGAGGATGATAAGGGAGGCTTCTTCAAACGTGTAAGTAGATAGTTTAATGATAATGCATGAATGTAGAATAATAAACTTTATAGCTATATTATGTAGTTTTTCTCTCTTTTGTTCCGAATTGGTAATTTTATTTATCTTCTTTTTTTTTCATTTTTTTTTCTTACGACTATATTTCATGTTGAATATCATATTCAAAAAAAAAATTATACAATTACGATAAAATGCTTGTTGCGTGTGTGGCATGAAAATATATAAAAAATTCTTTTATATGCAAAATAAACAATTTAGAGCTTTTTCTCGGGCCGTAAGTCACAATCTCCCGCTAAGGAGAAAGATAAGAAGGTTAAGGAAAAGACTCCAGTCAAAGACGTTGCAGTTGAAAATAATGAAAAGAATAAGGAAAAGCAGCAACAGAAGCCATCAGGATTCACAAAACCATATGAATATGATGAGGCAAGCGATCCAAATTTGAGTCCATCGAAGAAGCATCTCAAAGGATTCCGATATGATGAAGATCCAAAAATACGTGATAAGCAGCAGGATGGTGACAAGCTAAGTCCAACATCAGAACATCAACGTCGTACTGGTTTAGCATTTAATTATGCACCAGGTGAAAATGTTAAGGAAACAGCTGAAAAGTTGAAACATGGAGAATTATCCCCAAGAACACGCGATAAGATTCAACGCGGTGAATTGTCACCAAAGTCTCGTGACAAGCTGTTGAAGGAAGGCAATTTATCTCCGAAGACACGCGCAAAATTGATTGGCGGTGTTATGGCTGACGGTGACAAGGATAAGACAAAGCATTCACCAACCAAGAGTTATTCACCGACAGAAGATAATAAACAAGCTACTGGAAATATTCCAAGCGGAACTGAAGGCAAATACAGACCAATTTCAGACGATCCAAATGCCAAGTTTATTAATAATGAGAAATACGATCCAAACTTGTCATTCGTTCCATCTGAATTGAAAACAACAGCAGTTCCAGCAACTGCAGCCGATCAAGAAAAGAAAAAGATTAAAGTCAAAATTATGGTTATTGTCGGTAAAATTGATCCAAAAACAAAGAAAGTTGATGTATCAAATGGAGATGTTGAGCACTCAATTGGAATATTAGATAAAGATACTGGATTAATTGAAACAAGATATGGTGTAATTGATAGAAAGACAGCAACACTTACAACAGACGATGGAAAAGGCGGTGAAATTAAACGTCAAGGAACGATTGAACCAAAAACAGGTCATATTCAAATTATTGAAGGCGTTGTCGATCCAACAACAAATGCACAAAATCCAGAATTGGGTCAAGTTATCAGTATTGTTGAGGAGAAGAGTCCAATTGTTGAAATTACAGCAATTACAAGCAAGCTTGATGCTGATAATAAAGTAGATCTTGTTAATGGAGAACTTGAGAGGACACGCGGTGTATGGGATGTTGAAAATAATTGCATAGAAACAAAATACGGTCTCATAAATTTAAAGAATGGTGAAGTCAAGACCGTTGATGCAAAATCAGGAAAGCCCGTCAGTAAACAAGCGAAAGTTGATCCAGCAAACGATTCAATTACAATTATTGGTGTACAAGATAAGGCTGGCAAGACAGACAATACACAAGGACACTTATTGGCTATTGGAAATGAAATCGATCCATTAGTTGAAATTGTATCTGTTGTCGGTAAATTAGATAAGAAAGGTAATCTTGATCCAAAATCGACAGTACTTGAAACGTCATCAGGTCAATTAGATGTTGAAAGTGGCAAGATAAACACAAAGTATGGACAATTTGATTTAGTCAAGAACACTGTTACGTTTGTTGATCCAAAAACAGGCAAGACAGAAATTAAGGAAGCTAAAGTTGATCCAATTACTGGACAAGTTATATTGAAGAATCAAATTAATCCAAAAACAGGCAAACAAGATAAGGACTTTGGACGTATTATTAGTTTACGAATTGTTAATAACCGCATTGATCCATCAGGCAAAACAGTTACAGCAGCTGATGATACAAAGGATGTAAGATTTGATCCAAAAACAAATCAAATTTGGGTTGCAAATGAAAGAGATCCAAGAACAGGCGAACAAGTATTTACATCATCACAAGTTGATCCTAAAACCGGCTACATCATAACAATTTATGGTTATTTAAATCCCAAGACTAATGAAATCGAGAAACAAGTCAAAATGGATCCAAATGTCATAAAAGTCGATCCCACAAATGGACAAATTTATTCAGCAACTGGCGAACGTGACGAACATGGTGAACCATTATTCTCAGTATCGGAAGTGAATCGTGAAACTGGTGACGTTTATCAAAAAGTTGGAAAAGTTGATCCAAGAACTGGCAAAATTGTTATCGTACGAGTATTTTTGGTATCGAAACGTGACGAACGTGGAAAGCCACAAGATATTGACTTGAAATCCGTTGAATTTGATGAAAAGACAGGACGAATCATAAATATTGTCTCAAGCACAATCTATGTTTATAAAATGGTCGATCCAGTCACAGGTGAAGTTGTTCAAGTCGATCCAGATGATCCTAGAATATCAGGCGCAAGAACGACAGTCACACAAACCTTAACATTAACCGGCGAAATTGATAGTGTAACAGGAAGAATAAAAACAGAATATGGTCATATAGATCCAAATACAGGAGAAATTGACCCAGCGGTAAGTCTATGAACCTACCTACTTAACTTGGCGCATTTTCTCAGAGGGTACTGTGGGGTTAAGGGGTTTGAATTTTTTTAATACTCGCAAGGAAAAGCCATCTGAAAAGTATTTAAACTATTTCAGATGGCATAAAAACTGAAATTAAACTTTTCATATTTTATGCATATAATTAAATTAAGTTACAATGATATGTAGATATCGATAAAGAACTTAGAACTAAAAGAAACATATTTATTGCTTTTACGGTTAAAATGAATTTAAATTTTAATGTACTAGAGTATTGAATATTGAATAGTATCTTGGCTACGAGCTTTTCAAAAAGTAAATAAAATTAACGGAATACAGTGTTCAACTGACTGAAATAGTTATCTATTGGCGAGAAACAAGGATTTAGAAACACAAACTATTCAGAATACATTAACATCATGATGAATTAATTCAAATATTTATTGATCGTTAAATTTCATGTCCGAAAAAATGCGCGAGTTATGGTCACGTCTTTACTAACTTCAATGATTATGGGATAAGTTTTAACAGTCGAGAACAGCGTAGGTGTATGTAATATCTGTGCAGTCTTACGTTGTTCCATTATCCAATCATTAAAATCGAGCCAATCCCTAAAAAAATCCACTGTTGAAAAAGTATTGGCACTAAAAAATTAAATTTATTATAGACGGCAGTAAGAGATCCCGTAACCGGTAAACTTATTCTCAATTATGCCGATATCGATCCATCACATTTCGGAAAGAATGTGACAGTCACAAAAAATACAGTTCCCATAACGCGAGATGAATTCTTTGAAGGCACAAAACACTTAGGACAACATTTATTAGGCGATGACGATGGCACACCGATTGACATTGACGATGATTTAAAGAAATATAGATTTAGTGGAGCTCCTACTGTTGTAAAAACAACCACAAAACAAACAATTACACGGGGTGATGATGGCGTCACGCACAATGTTGAGGAGAAAGTACAAAATTTGGGAACTGGCGAGGTTACATATTCGACGCAAGAACATAAGGTGAGAAGATAGAATGATAAGAAGAACGGATGGCTGTGAAAGAAAAAAATTTTCATTATCCAACTAGGGACGATCTAGATAAACAATTTTATGTCAAAAAAAAGCAAAAGAATCTTTGTTCCATTTTCTGCTTGCATGCAAGAAAGTTTTTTAATTTTTTATTTTTCTTTATTTCCTTTGCCTTTTTTATTGCCAAAATTGTGTAATGTTTTTCTTTTTATAGAACATTAAGACCAAAGATAGAATGTTTTAAAGTTTTTTGAGCTTTGAGACAGCTCATTGTTTTCGTAGAATTCAGAAAAATGCAAAAACTTAATTTTAACTGTCGTTTTAAATTTGAATTTTCTATTGAAAGACGTGAGGAGAACTCAAAATTAAAATGACAGTTAAATGCAATAATTCTTAACGAACATTTCAAATTTTAATTTTCAAATTCAAAATGTTCGTTAAATTTTCAAAATTTTAATTTCCCATATAATTACAACTTCTTAATTTGCTAATTATTTTTGTTGATTAATTTTCCATTTCCAATATCACAATGCTCATCCTGCATATAAATAAACAATTTATCGATGTTTTCATTAACATTGATGTTGTGAATCGATTAACAATTGTTTGCAAAAAATAAATAATATGGCAACATGATAGTCTGATGTTCCAAGTAATGATACATCAGGTTCTTATGTTGCTGGCAAAGCAGTCACAACACGCACGGCTATAACAAAAGAAGATTTAAGCACAAATGTAAAGACACAACAGCTCGAGGAAAAGACAGTTGCAACAACGACAAAACAGATTGCTGATCGACAGGAACAAAAGGTCATAACACAAGAGGTTAAGACAACTATGACAACCGGCGAACCGCAGCAAGTGAGTTGACTCGGATGCGAGATTAATGTTATAATTTTGAGATTACCATGCAAAATAACATCGAGCATGGCTCTGGCATGATTTTATATTTGTTGTGTTTTATTTCTCATTAATTTAACATTAATTCCTCCTCTGTTTTATGAGTTTGACATTGTTCTTTTAATTTAATTAACCTTATTTTTTGTCATGATTAATTATTATCAAATGAATGTTCAGTTCAATCGGCGCGAAAGTGTCTCATCAACAAGCTCAGATGATTCCGGTACGCCAATTGATGGAATCGAAGGAGAAGATTTTTACCCCGACGTCATTCAAAATAAATCATTCACGGTTTGTTGCGCTTCTCATTTTTATTTTAAATTTTTTGCATGCTTAACTTTTTTAATTTTCGAGTCCGAAATTGATCATCAGAAATGTCCTGATTAGAGCTTTACACAATGACTTGTGCTTACCTCCTTCTAATTGTAATTATTTGGCATTTCCTTTAGGGCGTCCGTGATCATGAAATCAATCAACCGAATGTGGAACAACAGACAGTCTTCGACCAAACAAATCAATCAGAAATTGTCTCAACGCAAACTGTTTCAAGCAAGACACGAACTGTCGAAACAATTACTGTAAGAATTTCGATTATTTATTTGTTCTGCATAGTCTAATGTTTTGTGTACAAATTATAGTATAAAACCGAACGTGATGGTGTTGTTGAAACGAGAGTTGAACAGAAAATAACGATACAATCCGATGGTGATCCAATTGATCACGATAAAGCTTTAGCTGAGGCGATTCAAGTGAGTATTTTGACAGATTTATTCAATGTGGAAGTAAGAGAAGGTTGATGAAACCAAGATGATTTTATTCTGATTTATATAACTATGTTATTTATTGACTTGACTAGATTTTAATTGAAATGAAACTTCTTAATTAAAAATAAACAAGAAGCTATTTTAAGTCATCATGTGAACGGGAAAAATGGAACTTTTTAAAGTATAAAATGTAGAAATGTATTTTCCATAAACAGAAGAACATTAAATATGGAGAGTAAACACATTATGTGGTTATAACTATGCTTGTTGAAGAATTTGCTATTTTGATAATATTTGAAAGAGTTAATTAAAAAAGTTGTGATTTAAGCAAATATTTCAAGTATTTGGCGGAAATGTGCTGAATTTAAAGCTTTATTAAGCTAAGTTATTCAATCTGCAGAAGTTTCAGTGCTGAACTCAGTTTCTAGTGTTTCTAAAATGAATGATTTAAAAAGGACACTAAAATTGAGTAGACCTCAATTGGAAAGCGTTAAATTAAGCTGAATTCAGTTGAAAAGTTTTGAATTAAGTTAAAAAGCGCTGAATAGAGCTGAATTCAGTTGAAAAGTTTTGAATTAAGTTAAAAAGCGCTGATTAGAGCTGAATTCAGTTGAAAATTTTTGAATTAAAAGTTAAAAAGCGCTGAATAGAGCTGAATTCAGTTGAAAAACGGTGCATTGAGCTGAATTTAATTGATTAGTGCTGAGTTGAGCTGGAATATGACATTTAAGATCTGATTGTCAATGAATATAATGAACAGAACACAGCTAAGGCTATTTATTGTCAAGTTCTTAATGCAAACTTCATGAATTCACTAAACATAGCTCAAACGAATTAAAAAACACAAAAAAAGTAATAAAAACAAGCCAATAAAACAATTTTAAACGACAAAGTCAAACCCAAGTGCAAATCTTCGCTATTTTTGCGTGTGTTCATGACAGAATAAATTCATATGGGCATCATATTTCTCCATAAATTCCACAATAATCTTTCTCAATTAATCGAATGATCTCATTCATGACATTTTCTTTTATTTTTCTGTATCTTTTAGGAAGCAACAGCTATGAATCCAGACATGACAGTTGAAAAGATAGAAATACAGCAGCAAACGCAATAAAATGTGTGTTTATTATAAGCAGAAAAGAAAAAAAAAATATGGAAAAAATGTTTCAGAACCATTTCAAACCTCTCCAGTTTTTTTTTTTAAAATCTACACAACTACATTACAATAATGTTTAAGGAACATAGAAGCAAAAAAAAATATTTTACGTCATTAACTTTCGTTCTTTAACAATTAATTTCTATTCATTTATAAGATTTACGAAAAAGGGTGGATAAAAAAATAATAATTTGTGCAATGGGACGTTCTTTGAAAGAAAAAACAGCACATGACACTCTAAATTAATCTCTTCTAAAGAAAACAAAAATTTTGTATAACGTCAATTACATTGCACCTAGTTTTAAGATTTATTCTCTGTTTATAATTATTAATATTAGGTATTACTTTTTTTTCAAACAATATTTATAATTGAGAATTCAAGAAAGAAAGTCCATTTCTTTACCATAACAGCTATATATTATAAATAAGACGAGATACATGATTATTATTATTATTATTATTTAAAGTATTAAAACTGTATGTTTGTTTTTTCTTTAATTTCATTTTTAACTATCTAAATGTGACCCAATTATTCTGATGGACCATTTCTGACTTTTTCCAATCCCTCAAACTGTTTACTAAGCGCATTTTCCTCAATAATAGCAACTTTGACGTGTAGCTTTTATAACGAACAATTTAGATTTAAATAGCAAATCAGTGAGAAAATTACAAGGAATCGATGACTTTTGATTCTCAGGGGAACAACAACCCAATAATTGCTTAACTCAAATTAAAAAACCGTTAAATATCCAATTAAAGAAACTGCTAATTCAAATTCAAAAAAACCGTTAAATTTTAAAACTTTTTCCAATTTTAAAGTAATTCAATAGAAAAATCAAATTTGCTTCCGTAACTATTCAATCAATATATACATACAAAAGAATAAATAATAGAGGGAAAATGCGCTTCCCACACAAAGCCCAACTTTAATGGTAGTTTGATGATGATAATGATATATTATTAATAACTAAACAAATGAGAAAAAAGTGTTCAATTTTAATACATTATACTACCGAAATTTCCAAAACGTGAAAATAGAATACAGATTCTACGTCTGAAATAGACAACATCAAATTTCATACAAGAACAAAACGTTAAAATTACCTGAATGTTAAATTAGAATTTCATACATGTCGTAGAAATTGCTACTGCATCTCCTCTCTATCTTTATCTTTATCTCTATAATCCAAGCAAACCCTCTCTACAATGTTTTAGCACCTAAATCATACACACATGAAAAATAGTTATGTTCCATTGAGGACTTGAAAAAAATTATATACATAAATTAAATGAAATTTCTAACAATTTTTTTTAAAAAATTGGTGCTGCTTACTTTATCCCCTGATAATTGGAAATTTATATCAATCCAGTTGATTGGAATATATGCTTATAATAAGATGTTGATGCTTACACATCTCAACAGTGCTGCTGAAAAAGGTAGTGACACACATGATTAAAATATATTCTAGCAAACAAATTCAATGTGTTATTTTTATTAAAAATCATAAAAGAGTTTTTTTTTTCTTCCGGCATCTCAAATACATAAGTTTATGAAAAATAAAAAAATATATTAAAATAAATTTTAATCAAACCGTGACACACAAAAAAAAATGTTTGTGAAAAATAAATTGTCCATTTGTGGATGAGTGTGGCTCATTTATTGAGGAGCTATGTTCATGTTAAACTAGTCTTAAGAAAAATCATAAAAATAAACGAATTATCGAAATCTACGAAGGCTGTTGAGTGGGGAGTTAAATTGGTGGAAGGAAGAATTTCCAGTCAATTATGGAAGTAATTCAACAACTTTCCATTAAAGCTTTCTTTCATAAACTTTCCAATAAACTGGAAATATTCCATTGGAATAAAAAGCTTATATTGAAACTTCCAGTAAAAAGTAAATTTTCAAACAAAATTTCCGCTAAAAATTCAAAAGCTTCCAATAAACTTCCAGTGGAATGAAGTAATTTTCTAAAAGCACTGGAAGGTTTTTATTGGAAAGTAAAGCTTCAAAAACATCAAAATGAAAGATTTAGGAGCAAATTTATTAAAACTTAGATTTTTCATCGCTTTTAAATGATATTCTAGTGAGATTGGAAGTATTCCAATCAAAAAATGCAAGATAAAATTTAAAAAAATTGAAACTTTACATTTTTTTGCAACTGCTCCACATCCTCAAATCAAACAGTCTTTCGAAAATTCATAAAAAAAGTGATTCGACTCCTTCATGGTCAATCACAAAATGCGTGTTTCACGCCTCATAAGTTATACGGATTTTATAAATATCTCTTTACACCAAAGGATATTCTAATGAAAGAAGTATCTCTTCTACTCACTTGATTTTTCTCAACACAACAACCAGCTTTGAATTATAGAAATCATCGCAAGATATTTCAGTTCAAACAATCCAGCACAGACAAAAAACTATTGCATTGCTCCCAAAAAATGAGCCACAAAACCTAAAAGAACATAAAAAAACTGCCTTACTTGTGAGAAATGATTATTAATAAAATATCCAAAATTTTACCAATTTGATGTGTGCTCTCGCATTAATGGAGCTTTCAGCTAAAAAAAAGAGAAAAAAATTGACATTGTAACGTACTATTTTATGTATTAAAAGTGAAGAATGATGATTTTGGTAATTATTTTTTATAATATTAATTAATTATGAGCTTTTTGGATATGCGAAGGAACTAAAACTTAAGTTTTTCGAGTTTCAGGGATCGTTGGTTTTTTGGGGTATACACAAGGGTTAACCCTAGTCATACTTAAGTTTATGAATAGAGTATGTCCCTAGTTTATACTCGAACAAATCCAGATCCAGCTTGAAGAAAAGAAAATGAGAAAAAATTGGATGTAATTTCTAATATTTTGCACTAGAAATCAGATCTTCATGTAGCTTACATATTTTCAGATGCTTTTTAAAAATGAGAAAAAGAAAATTGTTGTTGACATAAAAAAATACATATTTTTAATTAATTAAAGCATAAAAATTATTGCATTTTTTTGTCGAACTAAATCATATTTTTTTGTATTATTAGTCTTTGATTTCACAATTTCGATAGCGCGGGTTCAAGAACGAGATAAAATATGAGTTAACTATGAAAACAATAAGAATATATGAGATGTAGTCTATATATTTTGAAATCACCGCTAAGAAAAAAAAAATGCATGAAAAACATTTATTATTATTGAATTATATTGATTCTATTGCTTTCACATAATAAAAAATGAGAAAATTGTAAAATCTGAATTTTTGGCATTTTATTCTGACTGTTTTCAGGCATTTTTATTGAAATTTCCATCAATTTCGTTAAAAACTTAATCACATGTCGAATAAACTCGTCTAAAATGTTAACGGTCGACAAAAATTCGAAAAAATTCAACTCACAGCCAACGTCAGGTAAGTTGATGCTAACTTCGGTCTTTTTTGCTCGTCGAAACTCGAGGAATAACCATCATGAAGGCTAAAGGAGTAGTAAATATCGATTTTAGTTGATTAATTATAGTATTTTAAGTTCAATTTTGTGATATACGTGTAGATAAACTTGATATCTATCCGAGAAATACATTTAATTTGAGTTTTTCAAAGTTTTTAGTGATAAATTTTTAAATATTATTTTTCTGTGTACCAAACATGCTTGATTTTTTTTTGTGAAATTAAAATTGAACTTAATTTAACTCACTGGATTATTAATTATCAACTGAATATCACTAATCATGTGCTTTCCTTTCGTTTTAGCTCAAGGAGTATGAGATCATTGGCAGAAAATTGCCATCCGAAAAGGATCCAAATCCTCCATTATTCAAAATGAATATCTTCGCTCCAGATCATATTGTAGCCAAGAGTCGTTTCTGGTATTTCTTACGTCAATTGCGTAAATTCAAGAAGGCAACAGGTGAAATCGTCAGCGTTAAGCGCAAGTACGAGAAGACTCCATTGAGAATTAAGAATTTCGGCATTTGGCTTCGTTATGATTCACGTTCAGGAACACACAATATGTACCGTGAATATCGTGACTTGACTGTCGGTGGTGCAGTTACACAGTGCTACTCAGACATGGCATCACGTCATCGTGCTCGCGCTCATTCAATCCAAGTAAGTTTAATACTCAAAATAAACACCTTTTTTGCCTTACTAATGACGCTACTTGTTCCTTTCAGGTCATCAAAATTGAAAAGGTAGCTGCCATCAAGACACGCCGTACGCTCATCAAGCAATTCCACGATTCAAAGATCAGGTTCCCACTTGTACAAAGATATCACCACAAGAGATACCGACAATTGTTCTCTATTACTCGCCCAACCACCCACTTCAATTAAACTTATGTTTATTGCTCGAGTGTACTAACTGTAATAAAGTGGAAATCGGTTAAATAATGATTGTCCAGGCGATGAAACCATTTTAAATCTATGGTTTGTTGAAGAATTGATGTGAATAAATATGATAAAAAAGAATTTTTCCATCTATAAAGCTTCAATTCTTATTTTATTGGTTCTATCTTTCCAGCGTAAACATTGTGCAAAGTTTATAAGCCTTAAAAACCGCCAAAATAAATTTGAATTTTGAACTGAACTGAAAAGAACTTTTAATTTTAGATTACTGAACGTTTTGCGATAACAATATATTAAATCTTTTCATATATTCAGCATTTAAAATGTCATTAATTAAGTTAAATAGATCTCTTCCACATACCAAAGAGTGTTGCTTCATTTGTAAGCAATATACGCGATTTCATGTCAATATCATTCGAGGAAAATCAAATTATTCAAAAAGGAAGTTAAAGGATCTAATCGGTAAGGTTTAATTAAGTTATTGCATCAACTGTTATGTTGCTAATAAGGACATGATTATTGCAGAGCAAATATCGAATGTAGAGATAAGTCGATCATCGGTTATCTGCCAAATGTGTTTAATTAAACTACAGAATTATGATGAATATTCCATGAAAGCTATGACTGCTCAAATGGAACTAAAATATCTCTTGGACAAGCAAGATGACAGCATGTTTATGTTCCAGAAAGTTAAAATCGAGGATGACGATGATCAAGAAACCGAGAAAGAAGAGGAACTAGAATCTTATAACTACAGTGCAAATGACTATCTTTTACTATCAGAAGAGGATAGACCTAATATGAGCACCTTTTATAGACCCAGAATCTTACAATCACCTAAAGAAATTTATCCATGTGACTATCCAAATTGTGAAAAAATCTTTAAAACGAGATCTAAACTTTCGTTCCATAAAACTTTTCACACTTCTGAAAGGAACTATCAGTGTCATTTATGCCATAAATATTATAAAACAAGTATATGCTTAAGGAGCCACATGAGAATTCATTATAATGCTAATCGACGTGTGATTTGTGATATGTGTGGTGATAGTTTTACAACTAAGCAGTCAGTTCTCAGACATTTTACGACGGCACATTTAAAATTGAGGTGAATAGTGAGCCTGATTATAATTTAAAAATTTAACGGAAATTTAAAATTTGAATTTTGTTTCAAAACCAAGCAAATGTTTTGCAAGTTTAACGGAAATTCAAAATTTGAATTGAGAGCTTCAAAATTTTAAGTTTTCTGAAAACCTTACAAATGTTTTTCTGTGTTTGGAATTGAAGGGTTCTTAATTCAAATTATCTGTTAAATTTATAAAACATTTACATAGTTTTAAAATGTAATACTTAAAAATAATAATTTTAAAGCTATAATCGAAATTCTTTTTCCAAATTCCAGACCATACATATGTCAAGTTTGTGGAGCAAACTTCGGCACTCTAGTCATTCTCAGGCTTCATTTAATGACCCATGGCGATGGAAGTAACAAGAATTTTGCTTGTGAGATCTGTACAAGTCGATTCTATTCAAGATCAAAGCTTAATCGTCACATGCGTGGACATGGCGAAAAGCAATTTGAATGTGCAATTTGTCATAGAAAATATACACAAAGATATAATCTAAATGCGCATATCCGTGCTGCTCATGGAGATGAAAATGTACAAACCGTAGAAGTTCCAAAGCGGTTCGTCTGTCAGTTGTGCGGGACATGCTTTGTGACAAATAACGAGCTTGAAACTCACCTGAAAATTTATCATGAAGATCTGCAAAAAATAAACTATTCAAATGTATTTTAAATAAAAATGTCATATTTAAATTCTTATTTAATCTAGTTTATTCACTAATTTATGATTTTTTTTGTCTACATATATTTACTATATCAATTATCACCGCCATCTATCTAACAACAAAAATACCCTGTTCTATTAATAATTTATTTAGATACTGCATTAATATATTCGTACGATTACACACCAAGGGTCAGACACTCCAAAGTATTGTACGGTATTGTACAATACCTACAATACTTACAATACTTGCCATATAAGTATTGTAAGTATTGTACAATACTTTTCATATAAATTTACAATACTTTACAATACTTACAATACTGAAATTTAATTATACAAGAACCAAATTTTAAAAGAAATTAAATGTTTTTTGAGTTTTTAACAATTTGTAAAACCAAATTTTATACTTTTTTTTGACAAAAATTGATAAATAACAATTTTTTTTGATAAATTAACATTATTATTGAAAATTAGCAGGAGAATTTTATGAAAAACTAGCACAAATTTCAGTTTTCCATTAAAAGAGAGAATTTCTGATTATGTAATGGCTATAAAAATGATAAAAAGTGCAAATCAAGAATTGATTTCATACAATTCTCATGCACAAAACCGTACAGGTACGAAGTTTATTATGCAAACTAATATTAAATGTCAATAAGGAATCAAAATTAAATAGATTGGTTTCATTTTCACAAGATTTATCACTCTTTAAAGCAAACTGCATTACGTTTTATACAAATTTTTTGATCAAAGTATAAGGTTTTAAGTGCATTCAAACATTACTTTGACGACTTGAATTTCTTTACCTCTGACAAGAAGGCGATTAAGAAAGAATTAAGAAGAATTTATAGCTGTTTGCTAATTGATTCGCATTTTGATGCTTATCAAATACTGATGATTTGTAATTTTTTTGAAAATACATATTTTCAACAACTGCATCTCTAAGACAATATAAAACTGTTTATTTTATTCTTTCTTTGTCAAAATTATTCTTTAAAAATTTTAATGTCAAATTATCTCAATTGAAAAGTTTCATCATTTAAACACAAAAAAATCTTTCAAATTTCCAGGAGCATGTTTGATATTTGAGTTTAAATTTTTGTCCAGTTCCCTATAATTTTTTGGGTCTGGGAAATCGTGAATGCCTAGTAAATACAAAAAGATATATCATTTCAGGAAAATTTCTGATGAAAAATGTCCTTACTAAAAGCAATGTAAACTTTAAAGAAGCAAACTTAAATCGAGGCATAGCAATGTTATGATATGACTTAAAGCGCTATAAAAAAAACTTAACCTTGGTTTTACCTATATAAAACTGAAGAAAACGTTAAAGTTCCTCTAATATGAGGAGACTAATATCTAATATTCTCATCTTATCTATGCTTTCGTTAATAATGTTTGATATTTTTGGCTGCATCTGGCGTTATATCGCCTTTGTTTCGAGCCAGAATACTTTTTTGCTATTGACAATTTTGAAAAATGACTTTATTACCAAACATTTTGTATAGAAATATTTTTACAATATTTGTATTTGTTTTAGACTGAATATTTTTGGAGAACTATACAATTTCAATTAAAACTTAAAAATATTTAGATCAAAATTGCTAATTATGTATTTTTATCAAATTTTGGTTCAAAAAATGTAAAGAAACACGAGAAACCGTCAATTATAATCAAATTCACATGAGAAATGTTTCTCAAACTGTCTTGTAAAAACCACAATACTTACAATACTTTCCATACAAGTATTGTAAGAGTTGTAAGTATTGTCATACAAGTATTGTAAGTATCGTAGGTATTGTACAATAATTACAATACTTTCATATGTATTGTAAAGTATTGTACAATACATTACAATACTTTTGGAGTGTCTGACCCTTGTTACACACAATAGAGATGGCTATTGAATCAAAACATTCGTCTAGAATTAAAGAGTATTTCTTGTTTGCTGGAATGGATTTTAAGGTGGTTTTCTGTTTGAGATTCGAATGACTTCATCGTGGAGATTTTGATGATAATTTGAGTTTAAAAAAAACGTGGTAATAATAAGGTAAATTTTCAAAATGCGGAAATTGATTTATAAACCAATATTTTGATACTTTTACAACTTTAAAGTCCACAATGTTCATTGAAAGATCGTTATTCTTAGAATTAATACCGTCAGCTATTCAAAATTCATTCAAATGGAATTAAATAATTTAATTTGATGAATTTCCTCAAAAACCAACCTTGAGCATGAAATTTGAGAACCTTTAAGCCCTACAGAAAGCCAATATTACTTTCATTCAAATATCCACATAAATTGATGAAAAATCAACCTTATAAGACCAAAAAACGATACTCTTTAAGGAACTTACCAAAACCATTGAGTTTTCAATGATATTCGAAACTATTTTCAATGCCAAATTCAACCATATCAAAATCCATTCTAATATCAAAAAGATCCTCAGTGATTCTATCTTGCTATAATATCCTATCAATGTATACATTTTACAAAAAGAGTTTTTTATGAATTTTACGAATGACTATGAAGGAAACATTTCTGTCTACCAGCTCATCTAATACATTTTCAAAGTTGTGAAAAATAAATCCCAAAGTTTTCTAGTCTTCTTTTGTTGATTCTAAGCTCTCAAAATTTTTACTTCCATGACTTTGCATGGCCTATTTTCGAAAATTATTCAATTCTAAAATCATAAGCTCTGATATGCATCCATGGCATCGTAAGGATGTAATGTGTTGTGTAAGTTGTGATTGCCTGACGTTGAATAACTTTGTGGTATTTGTCCTGTAAGGATAATTATTAAATTAATTGATAGTTCAGGCAACTGGAACTTGATAACTTACCTAACTGACTTTGCTGTAATAAGATATTGTGCGATAGACCAGCATTCGGATTGTGGGGAAGTTTTGAGCCTTGAGAGTTCGGTCCCATCATCATTCCTGGCATGTCCATTTCGGAATCACTCGATGAGTCCATGTTCTTATCTCCAGATCTGGAAGTTGAATGAAAATTAATAAAAAGTAAAAAATGTAAAAGGTTCTCAATTTGTATTCAAAGTGCTCAAAACGATCTCGTTAGGTAAACAGCATCATAAATACAGCACATCCAGACTGAAATGACAATAAATTGTTCTCTTTCATTTGATCGCTTTTTGAATGCTAAATTTAGTGTTTGTGGCTTTAAATCTCGCTTAATTTGTTTTCAAGTTATCGAATTAATTTCATTTAATATCCACACGCTTGCCTATAATATCGACCGTTATTAATAGATTTATCCGTAAAATTTTCAGCATAAACGAAAATCTATAATATGAAAATAATATTTTATTCAAAAAAGTAATTAATTCTTTATGTTTCTATACAAATATAGATTTCTTAGGCCTTATTAAAGATTTCTTTCAAAGGGATAGATTAAGTTTGTGGTTGATTTGAGCTGATTTTGATGAAAAATGATTTTTTTAAATTATAAATTTAAAACCACTCAGAGCCATACAATTTCTTCTTCTTCTTATTGCTATTTAAAGACCGTTCACAATTCCAGGTAGTTTAATTTACAAACATACACAAAGAGCAATCAATAAAATCCAGTCAACTCCAAATGGTTGACAGAAAACATTCCCGCGATAAGTCAAAACAACAAAAAACCATCGCTAGGCAAAAAATTCCATCTTCAGTTGTCGATGATCCAGATCCCTTGACAGTCCTTCTTGTAATTTAACTTGTGATATTCCAAATAGATTCAAATTTTTGTTATGTCTCGATTGTGATCTGTCAATGTAATTAATATGTTCTGCTGTATTCCGAGATGATCGATTCCTGTTTGTCTTGATTCCTGTTTGTTGATTTGTTGAAATCCAGTCAGCACCAATTGATTTAAAGAACTTGCCCGCGATATATGGAGAAACACACAAAACCCATCGCGAGACAAATTATCCTCACAATTGACGATAATCCGTTGTATTCCAAAAATATTCAATATGTCTAGGTTATGGTTATGATAGAACCTTCTTGTCCACGATTGTTGGTAAAACACAAAAAACCCACGTGAAACAATTGATTCTCCTCACAACTGCCGCCGATCGTTATTTGTCAATGTAATTAAATGTTCTTTGGTATTCCGATGATGATCAATTCCGTTTTATCTAGATTATGTGCAAAATTTGCGCATTTTTTTTCCAATTTCAATTTATATCCAAAATTTAATTAAATCGCGACTTTGCTGAGTTTTCTCCTTGGTATCTTTGTTCTTTGTTACTTTGAAGACAGTTCCCGTAAGTTTGTGACTTATTCCTACGCGTAATTAATTAATTTTGAAGTATTGCACAATTCCACAACCTCCTCATTCGGAGGTTGGGAGAAAACTCGCCATACAATTTCTCATTCAAAATTACTCAAATGTTTCAAAATTCAAAAAAACTTTAACGGATCTAAAATAAATATTGAAAATCTTCAAATCCCACACCCGAAATCCTTAAAACACACTCAAGAGAGCCCATAAAATGCAATATTTGTTTTACGAAAAGGATAAGTCTATCTTTGCCATTGTTACAGCTTTTATGACAATATAATTTGTGTATTGTTTGTCGATATTCATTGAAGAAGACATAGAAAGAAAGAATTTGGTTACTTGACTTGTTTTTTTTTTTCTCCTTTCACCACTTTTCTTCTTCTTCTTCTTCTTTTGTTCCCTATTATTCTTTATTGTTGATTTTCTTAATGCACAAGAGACATAGATCGTCTTCCTTATTATCATCAATAGGAAGAACAGAGTAAAAAAAAGTGACATACAATATTAAATTGTTCATTTACTTGTGCTTGATATTTCATTTATCTACAACCTGTACCATCATCGACATCATTGTCATTGTCATCATTACTCAGATCTACTACAATTTCATAAAAAGAATGGATGGATGGTAAAAGAAAAAAATATAATATTGAAATGCTTGGGAGGTCCGCGATTTAAATAAATTTGACTATTCAAACAATTTAAATCCTGCAGCTTGGAAATAATCCAAGTATAAACCTATTTGAAGCTAGTAATTAAATCAAGTTAATGGATACCCGAAGTTTGTAGCTACAACAAGCTAGTAGCTACTCCAAGTAAGAAGATTTTTCAAGTTAGGAGCTACCCCAAGCTAGTTGCCCCTTCAAGTAAGTAGCTTTACCAAGCTAGTAGCCCCTTCAAATAAGTAGCTTTCCCAAGCTAGTAGGCCCTTCAAGTAAGTAGCTTTCCCAAGCTAGTAGCCCCTTCAAGTAAGTAGCTTTCCCAAGCTAGTAGCCCCTTCAAGTAAGTAGCTTTACCAAGCTAGTAGCCCCTTCAAGTCAGTAGCTTTCCCAAGCTAGTAGCCCCTTCAAGTAAGTAGCTTTACCAAGCTAGTAGCCCCTACAAGTCAGTAGCTTTACCAAGCTAGTAGCCCCTTCAAGTAAGAAGCTTTCCCAAGCTAGTAGCCCCTTCAAGTAAGTAGCTTTCCCAAGCTAGTAGCCCCTTCAAGTAAGTAGCTTTACCAAGCTAGTAGCCCCTTCAAGTAAGAAGCTTTCCCAAGCTAGTAGCCCCTTCAAGTCAGTAGCTTTCCCAAGCTAGTAGCCCCTTCAAGTCAGTAGCTTTACCAAGCTAGTAGCCCCTTCAAGTAAGAAGCTTTCCCAAGCTAGTAGCCCCTTCAAGTCAGTAGCTTTCCCAAGCTAGTAGCCCCTTCAAGTAAGTAGCTTTCCAAAGCTAGAAGCCCCTTCAAATAAATATCTTTCCCAAACTAGTAGCTTTCCCAAACTAGTAGCTTTCCCAAATTGGTAGCTAATCTAAATTAGTGTATAACACGAGCTGCATCCCTACTTAGAAACTACTCTTACTTATTATTTTCTTTTAACTAGTAGCACTCTTAAAGAAGAAGAAAAAAATTATCCAAACCGAGGACACCCCAATAAATAGAGAATAAAAAGAAGAAAGAAAGAAAATGTATTTTGCGTAAAAATTGCCATAAGAAATCGTCGTCAAACAGAGTGAAGGAAGAAAAAAAAAGTGTTATTTGATATCGTCTCAATGGGGTCAATTCATAAAATCCATCTCATAAAAAAGATAATATGAATATCGTGTAGATAAAGACAATTGGGATAAGATCGAAATAAAAATATTAAAAAATAAATTATGGAATGTCTTTTTAAAAAGCAAAGAAGTTAAATTTATTAAGAAAGATAGACATCAGAATGTTAATCAGAGCTCATTTCAATAATGAATATGAATCATTTCCCTCCCCAAGAAGAATGAAATGCCTGTTAAGAGAAGAGATATAGGAGAGACAATAAAACTGTATGAATACAGTCATTTCATGTGTATATATGTAAGAATGTGTATAAAAAAAATTTTTTATGTTTATTTCCATCAGCGATTCAGCGATAGAATGTCATCTGATACTTTCGGTTGAATAATAAATTGAACGACTGTACACAGCCAGTGAATATAACGAAAGGAAACCTGATATCCCCTTAAATTCTCAACATTGATCGACTGTACACAACAACGTTGTTGGTTTTTCTCTGCTGTTCATATACTGTACATTATATTTAGGTTTTTTTTGTCGATGCCCCAGAGAGCAGGATAAGAATAAACAGCATGTGAAAGATATACACACATGTTTTCATTCCATCCAACTCACTCCCTTAATTCTCTCTGTCTTTTTTGCTCTTTTACATCAAAGAATACAAAAACAAGTAATTATGCTGCTCTGCCATACATTGTCTCAATTCTTTCCTTTTAAGGATCCTTTATCTTCTTAGATCTAAGTAAACTCCAAAAAAACATAAACAATCATAATCGATAATCTCATAATTATTTCAGACGCAAATTTCTTCAGTTATTGTGAATTATAATGCGAAAAACATATGCTGCACATATGGATCTGTTCTATCCAAATCAAAACTTTCTTTCAACTTTTTTTTAATTCTTCAAATATTTGCCAAAAAAAAATAATAAATCAGTAAATAAGGCACAACGTTTGATCACATGGTGAGTGCATTTTTCAGCCATGATCAGCTATTTTTAAGCATTTTTAAGTAACTGTTAACGATTTTTGATTTTATGGAGCTGATTTGATTATATTGATTGTTAATTTTTTGATGATTTCACGTTTAAGCTATCAATATCCATCGATTTAAAGATCGTTTTACAATCAAAATCAATTAATTTAAATATAATAAAAGTTATTGATTAGATTTTGAAATCCTAATCTTAATAAAATTGGAATATAATTTACGATCGATATTTGATATTTTAACGACTTTCTAAAATTTGAATTTTTTTATCATTTATGTCACAATTTTAGCACATTTTTGTCGTTAAAACTTAATTTAGCGCCATTTTATATTGTTTAATGATATTTCTGCATTTACCAAAGAATTGAGTTGTTTTATGTGCTTTAAATTGTTGAAATCACTAACAAGGATGTCATTAATTGATTTAACATTGAAATAATCATTAGATTTCACAAATTATCGAAATTTCCACAGTTTTATAAAACAGACAAAGAGCATGCTCTTAATTAAGAGTACGGTTAAGAAAACGCTTATTTAACATCCTCTCAAGATCCCAGTAAAGAGCATGTTCAGTTGAGTCTGCAATCATCCTCTAATTATCAATAACTTGCATGCAAGTTTTTACTTCATAATCTTTTATGTACTCTCAAGAGCATGATCAGAAGAGTATATAAAAAGCATAATCATTCACATCCTCATGAGATTATGTTAAAAATTTTCTTGCTATATACTTCACAAGCGCTAGCAGAAATCACTATTATAAGTAATAATTTTGGACTTTTTATAGTTTAAATATGTCTTTTAGCCATTTAAAAGTTATTTAATTTCAGAAGGCATTAGACAAGATGAACAGTTATCAGGACAAACTACAACACAGCGTACTCGTGGTCGAATCACGGCAATAACCAAAAAAGAATAAAAATATCAAATTCTCAAAAACATGATCAAGAGCATAATCACAAGCTCATAAATTTTTTAAATAGTAAAATTAAAGCATGATCAGCAGAACATGTTCTTGATCATGTTCTCAAGTTTAACTTGCATGAAAAATTTGCAAGTAGAAAAGCGTACTCTTGAGAGCGTGATTTCTGTGGTACCCTGCTGCGATCTCCAGTCGTATGGGAGAGTAGCGTCATCAAATTAAAATATTGATTTTTAAAAATCATGCTCAGATCGTGCACTTTGTCTGTTAGGATTTATCAGAAAAGATCCAGTAAAACATCCAGATCAATTATCAGTCTATGTAAAACAGACAAACAAAGCAATTTAATTGCTGTAGTAACATTATAAACAATCAGCTAAGGGGCCATTCACTTATTACGTAACGCTTTTAGGGGGGGAGGGGGGTCTAAGATTTTGTTACGGTTCAAACAAGGAAGTTTTTTTTTCATACAAATTTTGTTACGAGGGGGGGGGGGGCTAAAAAGTCATTTTTTCGCGTTACGTAATAAGTGAACAGCCCCTAAGTGTCAAAACGAGAGAAAATAAGAATGAGTCATTTAAAAGAACAAAAATTTTATGATGAATCCGCAAATTGGGTAAAAAGAAGGAATTTAAGGGGCCGTTCACTTATGACGTCGCAAGTGGTTCGGATCCCACTATAAACTTGTAGGTCTAAAGGGTGAGGTACAATAGATTCTGTTCTAATTTGAGTCGAAATGCCTCCAGCTGAAAGAATGGGCCCTTCACACATTATTATTATGACGTCCAGAGGGGGGGGGGGGGGGGGAGGTTCAGCAAGAAAAAAACAATAGAAATTCATTGTTCTTTTTTGAAAAATGACTATAATTTCGGACGTCATAAGTGAACGACCCCCAAGTAGATTTCACTAAAATTTGTACAACAAGAAATATGAGAACTTTACAACACACATAACAATGATCCAGCCAACCTGCCCAAAGTGTACATATAAATGCATTAAGTACGCAAAAATGCACAAAAAAGATTAATTATAATCTATGTGATGAACATTTCATCAAATCCCAAATCCATCATTAGATTTTTATTATTATTGTGATGTGAGGATAAAAAGGGAAATTTATCATGCTCCTTGAAAGAATTTCTCCTTCAGAAGCTAGAAAAAGGACAGCAAATCTACCTGGTTACTTGTCAAAAAATCAGATCACAGAATTAAAAATTTTATGCATGAAGGGATAGTTTTTTTTTCATCTTTCCTTCTTCTTTTCCTATTCATTATGTACATATCATGATGCCTGAACGTCGGCACTCAAATGAGTTTTGTGCAACCCCTCATGAATATATCTTAATCACAAAACATTGCAAATGATTATTATTTTTTATGAATTGTATCTTAATTAATTTAAATTGGGAATGAGAAAGAGAGCGCGAGGGTTTGAGAACCTTTTTCATTAATGATTTTAAAAAAAAATTGTTAAAAAGAAAATAATTGCAATTACTTACTCTTTACTATGTTCTGCTGCTCGATCTCTTTGCCGTCGGTTTTTGAACCAATTTGAAACCTTTTGTTTGAAAAGAAGTTAATCACTACTAATTTGTAAGAGGAGATTTTAGTATTTAAAAAACTTACCTGAGTTGTAGTGAGACCAGTTGCTTCCGCCAATTCTCTTTTCTCTCTTGGCGACGGGTAAGGGTTGTGCGTATACCTATTGAATGGGATGAATAATGGATTTAGATTGGATTAAATTGCGCTGTTTGTTTCAAGTTGTTTTTAAGGTTTCAAGAACTTCTTTGATGGGAAGTTTTGGACATTTATTTTGAAATTAAATGAAGCATTTAAGCCTTAGCATTATAAAATAGTCAAGGGATATCGTCTGTAGTTTATACGCAATCTAAAAGAACTTCAAATTCTTTGTAACTTCCAAAAGAAGTCTTTTGTCGTCTGGCAAGAACTTATAATTTTAAAATCAATTGATTCTGTAAATAATTGTCAATTTTAAGACAAAAACTTAACAAAACAAGAATTTATCCTATTTCTTAGTACTTTGCACATCATTAGTGGCTGGGATGCAACAAATTAATTAATCTAGTGCAAATCATTGACGATGAGCAATAGAATAAAGAGAAACGGTTTATAAAGCCATATAATGATCAAACTTCCGAAGAAACTTCATAAAGAAGATTACACAAACTAAAGACTTTCATCATTTCTTATAAAGGAAGCTGCAAAGTTTACTTTTGCATCATTATGACACAGCAAAGTACGAAATTCTCAAATAAGATACACCTTAGATAAATACACAACAGCAAAAAGATGACTAATAATTCTTCTCGAACAATTGAACTTGAAGAGCTTCCAATCCATGCCAAATCGACAATTTGAAATTTGAAACAAATGTCTTAAAGATGAGAAACAATGTAAATCACGCGATAATTTATTGCGCGACGAAATCAGTCTGACAAGACATCTAACTTGATATTGAATAAGGAAATAAAATTTGAAACCAAATCAAAATAATAAGTAAGACTGACCAATCTCTCAGCACTGATCGTGACTTCTCCTTAAAGCAATAACTCGTCTCCTCACCATCCCAAATGGTTCGTGGTAATGGGAATTTCCTACGTACACGATATTTACCGACAGCACCCAATGGTCGTCCTCGAAGTTTTTCAGCTTCCACATAATGTGCTAATTTTAATTGATTTTAGATTATTTATTTATTTTTTTTTGTTAATTTAATTAATCGTCATGGACATTCACCTTTCAGCCACAGTGTCTGTAATTTTTGATGATTGCACATTGAAAATGTTTGACTTTCCAATATTCTATAAAGTTCCTTAAAATGTCCCCTTTTATGTCAAAATGAATAATTATTATAATTAGTACACGCCGTAAGTCGATTCAAGGAAGCTGTCAATCTTACCTGTGAAATGCAACAACCGCCTTCGCTTTCAAAACCGACTCATTCAATTGAATTTTCTCACACTGTGGAAGTGACCAAAGAAATCGTCCGAGACGTTCCACATTCCCAGCTTGCTGTAAGACTTCACATACACAAGCGACTTGCTCTTGAGTGAAACCAAACGATGGAATCGAATCGTCACTTTCATCGCCTTTCATTGCTGTATTATGTACGTTATGACTTGCCAATAAAATCTGATTATTTAAATTGCAATTATTTTCCATAAAACGATCATTCATTACTTAATCATTATCACTTTAAACTAGATTTGATTTTTTTTTTGTTTTATAAATTCGAGGCCGAGATAATCTCCAACCATCCAACGTCAAGCGCTCCAATAATAAAGGATAATTGATGTGTCCACTTAAGATTTTTTCAGATCTTTATATTCTCACTTTCGATCACACTTTTTGTGGTATTTAATAATACTTATATTATTTTTTTTTGTTGCCTTTCTTTATTCAAACCGATATATAACTTTCATAATTTATTTTTAGATTAAAAGATACATTTTATGGGTTCAAACATAAGATTTTATTTTAATTTTTTTTTTTGAAGAAAGATTTTGGCATTCTTTCAAAATTATTATTCAATAAAAATTTTTACTTTCTTTAATTGATTTTCATTTTCATGAACGTAATACAATCTAAATATTAGTTCATTTTTTTTTTATTGATAATGATCACCGTGATTCACACCACCTTACAACTAATCTCTTCTCTTATTCCTTTTTTCACACATCCACTTAAAATATTCTTTTTTTGATGAAAAATGATCGCGTGCTATAAACAATTCGATGTTTACGGTCCGAAAGAAGGAAATTGAATGAGTAAGAATAAAGCATGGCATGAAGCATCAATATCATAAACCGACGATATATACTAAATTGAATATGAGTGTGGGGTGTCGTGATTTAATACCCGAAGTTCTCGAAATAAGTGTGTTAAATTAGAGATTTGTTGACGGAAGGAACAAGAAGACATTAGAGTTATTGCCAAAAAATCAATTGCTTAATTATAGAATTTATAATTTTAATATTATTAATTTACAAGGTGAAATTAAGATTATTGTAAAATATTTTTCATTTGGATAATATGACGTGGACACTCTCTAAGAGAGACGAGAGAGTAAGCCTCTATTGTGTGCGTGAGAACAGCTCTCACATGTTATTCAATACTCTACGTATAAATATTATTCAATTTTATTTATTTCTCTTATCAAAATTCATGAATGGCCATGTGGATTGCTAATTTAATGAGATTAAATAACAAATTTACAATTTTTGCAGCTTTAAGTATCAAAAATCTTTAATTTTAAATCAAAATTGACAATTCTTAATCATTGCAAAAACAATTTAATCTAATAAACGTAACGGGTTTTAAAAATTCAAATTGAAAATCAGCTGTTTTGCAAAATAAGGAAAACAGAAGGTCTAGAATGTCAACAAAAAGGATTTAGCTAAAATAATTAATGAAACACACGTTTACAACTTTCAAAAACAATAGATCATCACAAAAGAGTGTCCACTCAATGAACTCGTGATCTTAGTGAACAAAATCAATCACATTAAGTGTGTCAATTTTGTTCAAACAATAATAACAGTCACTAAGATAGTTTAAACCTTTTAATTTGATTATCTCGGTATCTTTGCATGTGTATCCATATTCATACATAACATAAAATATCCATCCCGAAAAGAAAAACATTATTTACTAAACTTCCGTAAAGATAAACAATATTTTTCATCATTTAATCCTCTATATAGTCCTTCTCACTAATACAGACGTAAAGACTAGTGCGCAGCTCTAATTGAATTTATCTCATAATACAAAAAAAGTATAAAAGCAAGAAGATCAAAATGTTTTTAATTCAAAGTGTTATAAGAAATCATAAAGTAAAGATTCAAAGTGTTCTAAAAAGTCATACAGTGAAGATGACTATTATCAATCAAATCGCAAAATACCACAAAGTTAGTCATGTCATATTCGACATGGATGGCTTATTATTGGGTAAGTTGAGATCAAATTTGTTAAATATTGGGATGTTATGAAATGGATTTAAGCGTGTAAGAGGAATTACTAGTATAAAGTGGAAATTAAGAAAAAATATAAATCAGCGGTGAATTTAAATCTAAAAAATTAAATTGCATTCGGTTTCAATTCTCGCAATTAAGCTTAAATCAGTAAGATCAATTGAGAAGAGTTAAATTAAAGATTCTTAATTCATAACTTAGGAAAGAAACTTAAACTTAAGAAATTTCAAATGAAATTGTAAAAAAAAAATTGAAAATCAGCTAAATAAGAAGAAGAATAGAAAATCACAACTCGTCACTAAAAAGTCGCATGTTAAAAATCTGCCAATGAAAAACTCGAACTTTGTAACAATCTTAAGCAGTAAACAAGCAATCAGTAAAAAAAACAATTTAATATGTTTACTTACCAGTGATCAGCTTTGACTGTTGTGATCAGCGCTATCGGTGCGAAAACATGTTGACGTACTTTAAAATCTATGAGAAAATCTAGATAAGGAAATCATATATTGAACAGCTTATGCCTTTATAAGTTGTGATAGGAGAACTATCGAGAATCAATAATGTTTAGTCGAAAATCAAGTGGAATAGATCAAATAGATAAAAGTTGGATAGCTTTGGGTTGAAGTTTAGGACTTGGTAACAATGGGAAGTCAAATCCATATAAGTCTTTGATCTATTAATGATTCTTGGTTTTAAACAAGATTTTTTAAATATTGAGTTTGAATGAAATTTTCAAATTCATAAATTTATTTAAATTGAGCAAAACTAAGGATTAAATCTTAAATAATAGATTATTAGGATAGATTTAAAAGGAAAAAGAACAAGAACTGAGCAAATGAATCCACAGAATGTGAATTTTAATTAAAAACAAGAATCACCCTCGTTGTTTAAAAGATTTATAACCTAGCATAACCAAAATTCCCTTCAATCTTTCACAAAGCTATTCATCTGTTGCCTAGACAATGATTTCACAATTTCTTTTCTTTCCTCGATGAGAGCACAAGAAAAATTCTCACTTTTTCGCAAAAAAAAGTCGTCGCAAAAAAGAAAAGAATTTCCTTGATAATTCTCAAGGTTTATACATAAAAAGCCAGAGCATTAATGTTTAGATAGCAAAGATTTATAGCACATTCGAAGATAATAACTTGACATGAATACTTTTATCTATGTCAGACTAATAATTTCTTCACAATTGCCTGAAAATTACGCAGAAACTTCGTGTCAAGCAAAAATCCCGCGAGAATCTTCATTAATTAGCAAAGATTCTACTCAGGGTCAATGTCATCCTTTCTTTTTGAGATGAGTAACTGAGCATACATAAGATATAGAGTAAGAAAGAAAAAATCACATTCTCATCTCGTGAAAATTAAGAAAAAAAACATGCGGAAAAAGATTTTGAAAAAAGAAAATTCAGCCAAGGCCAAAGCCATTTCTCCATATTATCATCATACTTACTAGCTGATTCATAGATTATTTACTGCTTTATGTTTACTATGTTTCTGCGAATTTTTTTATGTTATTGACTGTTTACTATGAACCAGCATCTCATGATTATTAGAATAAATATTTACTTAATCACAAAAAAATACGCGGCACTAGCTTACATCGTGTAAATTCCTTTATATCTTACACACTTATGACTAATCGAGAGACAAGTTCCAAAGTTCATTTTGAATATCACTCGCAAGATACATGATGCAGTTGCAATCCGGCATTTTTCACACATGTTCTCTCCGGTCTGAATAACAAAAATTTTTTTATTGCGCCAGATGATTTACAAGTCTAATTTTGCCTCCTTTATGTCTTCGATGCACTTAGTCATTAGCACTCTTACACAATTTTATTTAAAAAGCGAAATCACGACTGTGCTGCATGCTTTCAACTGATTTATTGTTTACTATTCATTCAGTTTCTTCCTCAATGGAATCCTCCAGTGATAATAAATGCGTGATTATAAACAATTGATCGGCGATGACGCAAATCGATCTGCTATTAGCTTTAACTGAGTTCTTGGTCTTAATCTTATTCTAGAATGCATATATTGCTATTCTAGTTTTCAAAGACATAAATTTTAATTAAGAAGATTTACAATGACCTAGCCCAACAAAAAAACTGTCGTCGACACCTCCTACATCTCATAATATTTACTCTTTCTTCTTACTTTCTGCGATGCTAGCTATTCCTTCTTATTTTTGCCAAGATGTTTACTATTTTACTTCATTGAATTAAATATATTAATGAGCTTTAAAATTCTTGTTTACTTCTACAGAGACAGAGCAAATCTACGAGAAAATTATCCGTGATTTGGCAGCCTCATACGGAAAGCCTTACCCATGGGAAGTAAGAATGAGAATTTTGGGAACGACAGAAAGACGCACATGTGAAATTGCAGTTGCTGAACTTGGTTTACCATGTACAGTTGATGAGTTTCAGAAACAATTTAGTCAGTCATGCCTTGATAATCTTGGAAATTGTAATTTAATGAATGGTGCTGAACGCATTGTCAGACATTTCTACAACAACAACGTTCCATTCTGCCTAGCCACAAGCTCATCACAGGAAAGTGTCGTTGTAAAGACAGCAAATTACCCAGCCTTGTTCAAATTATTCCATCACAAAGTTTGTGGATCAACTGACCCCGATGTAAAGCAAGGGAAACCAGCACCAGATATATTCTTGGTTGCATGCCAACGTTTCCCCGGAAATATCAAGCCAGAGGACTGCTTAGTCTTTGAAGACGCACCAAACGGATGTCGAGCAGCTAAATTAGCAGGAATGCAAGTTGTTATGGTTCCAGACTCACATGTAACAGAGAAACAGAAGGAAGATGCTACAGTTGTTCTTAAAAATTTATTGCATTTCAAACCGGAAGAATTTGGATTACCGCCGTTTGCTGACATTAATGAAGAGTAAGGCTGAATCTCGAATAATAAATTTTAATATTTAATTCATTCTGTACGCGTGCTTATTTTATTCTAATTATAACATTTAGTATGTAAGAGCTGTTGTAGTTTTGTAGTCTTTTATAGTGAAATATAAAGTCAATAAATTCATAGCTATGATTAAAAATTTTGTTGTTCTTATTATTTAATTCATTTACAGATTCATTGGTTGACTTTACAGGATATGAAGTTCAAGTTCAAGCATACTGACCCAAATAGTGGGCAATTTACTAGTAAAACTGTTTTAACGTGTGTTAACTAAGGATTTCTTCCTATCTGAACAATTTTTCAGACAACCTATCAACTTAAGTTTGGATTCAACACCTAAGCATCAATCCATTCACACATTTTGATTGACATTAAACTTCTCGAAAGCAGCAAAAACTTGTGTAATTTTCAGAACATTAAATAAATTGCATTAAATTACTTTACAGTCGGATGATTTTACTAAAAACACAACATAATAAAGTGTGTAGGAATTGGTAAAGTTCAGTTTATTTTGAGAATTGGAAGTGTTATCAAGCAATAATAAAATGGAAAGCATTATCTTCTTGATTTATGTGATTATAAATCTGTATTTTTGCAAAAGTCAATTGGTATTTAGTGGAACATCGGGTGGAAGTGTATCACCGACTATAATGAACAGTAAAGTGCCTTAATGACAACACCTTCTTAATCTACTTCTAAAATTGCTGAAAAATTGATTTTATTTATCAGATCCGTGCATTTGTGTTGTCGCTGGATATTGCAGCCGAGTTAATGGATCTACTAGCTCATTGCCTACTGATGGATCTGGCTTGATTGATGTTCGAATTATTAATGTATGAAAAATCATATTCAATTAACCAGACTTGAATAGAAAAAATAGTTTTAAGATGATGTATAGCAATTCTCAAATTGGCAGGGTTGCGATACAGCCACATGTGCACAGGTGAGAATTGTACAATTCCTTGATAAGTTGTATGGTTTTCCTAAAATTTGTATGGTCAGTTTTCTCCCAACCTCCGAATGAGGAGGTTGTGGAATTGTGCAATACTTCAAAATTAATTAATTACGCGTAGGAATAAGTCACAAACCTACGGGAACTGTCTTCAAAGTAACAAAGATACCAAGGAAAAAACTCAGCAAAGTCGCGATTTAATTAAATTTTGGATATAAATTAAAATTGGAAAAAAAAATGTGAAAATTTTGCACATAATCTAGATAAAACGGAATTGATCATCATCGGAATACCAAAGAACATTTAATTACATTGACAAATCACGATCGGCGGCAGTTGTGACGAGAATCAATTGTTTCACGTGGGTTTTTTGTGTTTTACCAACAATCGTGGACAAGAAGGTTCTATCATAACCATAACCTAGACATATTGAATATTATTGGAATACAACAGATTATCGTCAATTGTGAGGAGAATTTGTCTCGCGATGGGTTTTGTGTGTTTCCCCATATATCTCGGGCAAGTTCTATCAATCAATTGGTGCTGACTGGATTTCAACAAATCAACATTGACAAACAGGAATCGATCATCTTAGAATACAGCAGAACATATTAATTACATTGACAGATCACAATCGAGACATAACAAAAATTTGAATCTATTTGGAATATCACAAGTTGAATTACAAGAAGGACTGTCAAGGGATCTGGATCATCGACAACTGAAGATGGAATTTTTTGCATAGCGATGGTTTTTTGTTGTTTTGACTTATCGCGGGCATGTTTTCTGTCAACCATTTGGAGTTGACTGGATTTTATTGATTGTTCTTTGTGTATATTTGTAAATTAAACTACCTGGAATTGTGAACGGTCTTTAAATAGCAATAAGCTGATGGACCATAATAAAGTTAATTAAGGAGAAGAAGAAGAAGGAATTGTACGGATTTCAACTGTGCACAGGTGCCTGTATAGCAACCCTGGAAATCAGTTTGAAATAAAGCTAGCTTAAAACTATAAAGGCCTGTTAACCAAATCGATTGATTAATTTATAATAATTTATCAAAAATAAACCTTAATAAATATCCAGAGTGGATTTGGTGGATCGACAAATACTGGATCATCAACATCTCCAGCTTCGACTGGAATTTCAACAAGTAAACCTCTTAGAAAATTCGGGAAAGGGTCGTTTATAAATGATGTCAAATTATCGCGCACACATGGGATGGGGGCGTAGGGTACTTAAAAATTCAATTCTTAATGGACGTCATTTTTGAACGGCACCAAATTCATTTCTGTTGTCTAATCCAATAATAATTTTCGACAGTGGTTGTATCACAAAGTTCATGTCAAGCTGGATTAGAAGTGTGCTGTCTATCTTCAGGATATAGATGTGGATTGAGATTTCCACCCATCCAAGGTTAGTAACTGAATTGAATCAAGAACAAAGCATATACTGAGAAATATTTATATGAATAAAGGTGCGCCATCGGTAACGTTTGGTCAAGGTATGTTCTTGGACATCACATATATTCTTAACTATCCAGCAAGATATATAGATGTGCTCATACAAAAATATCGCAGTTTTTAAACGTCAAAAATTTGAATTTTCTAAAAACACTAACACTATAAAAGAAAATTTTCAATTTTTGTTTTGCAAAATTTTCAACTTTCTGTTAAGTTTTGTTGATACAGGAGTATTGCAAATGCTTTGCTATAATTTAAAGAAACTGACTTAAGACAAATGTTGTTGCATCTGTCGATATTTAAATGAAAACTTGAAAATAGAAAATTTTAAAAATTTTTGTTTGTATAAGTACACAAAAAATAGTATGGTCGAGTATGGTCAAGTATACTTTGTATGAGCTCATCTATATATCTTGCTATCCAGTTTAATGATGCTTTTACTATCAATGTGAAAATAGCTCCATATGGAAGTTATCCTTGGTTTGCTCTAATTTTCCAACAATACACAAATATATATGTCGGATCAGGAGTTCTGATTGATCACATGCACATCCTAACAGTTGCTCATAAAATTTCTAATTATACGTAAGTTTGAAATTCAAAATCGAAAACTTATTAATTGTACAAATCTATAGCTTAACACCAACAAGTCTAAAAGTAAGACTAGGAGAATGGAATCTAGCACCAGCAACTGAGCCAATTACTCCGATTGAATTTAATGTTGTGAGAATATTCATCCATCCACAGTTTAATTCACAATCTATTGCGAATAGCATTGCAATTTTGAGGGTAAGTCCAGATGTGCCTTTAGGACAAACACCAACAATTACTACAGGATGCTTATCAAGTAAGGAGTTTTTTGTATTTTCAACTTGAAATTATTAAGTTTATAATTTTCAACAGCAAATTACATAACTGGTGGTAGGTGCTGGGTTGCTGGTAAGAAATAATATTTGAGGCATCCAAAACTGATGTAAATGTTAAGACACTGATCATATATAATTCATATTTATTACAGGATACGGCGAGAAAGCCTTTACATCAGGTTCAACACCAACAATTATGCAGCATGTAGAATTACCAATTGTTAATCAAGTAACATGTCAAAATTTACTTAGATCTACTAGACTTGGTTCTGGATTTATTTTGGATCCAATTAGGTAAGAAATATTTAAAAATTAACTTACCAAAGTAAAAAATTTGAATAATTTTCAGCTTCTTATGTGCTGGTGGAATACCTGGACGCGATGCATGCACTGGTATTTGAATAATTCCAATAAATTAAGATCATCAAGTTAGTTCTATTTTTCAAAATTCTATGTTAAGGTGACGGAGGTTCAGCTCTGATGTGTTTTGCCAATTCCCAATGGTACATCGCTGGTCTTGTTGCTTGGGGTAAATATTTAGCTTTGTTTTAATGCCATTAATGTAAACATAAAGATTTTCATTTCAGGAATCGGATGTGGCAGCTCTAATGTTCCTGGAGTTTATATGAACGTCACCAACTACATCAATTGGATACAGACAACTACAATTCAGCCATAAAAAGCTATCGTTATGGAACTGATTGAATAAATTGAACAAAAATGATTCTAGTTTACTTTGGATCAGTTCTTTACTCTTGATTTGAATCTGTTAAAAGTAATAAAAAATATTTTTTTAAGTCCTATCCATAAAAATTCTTAAAAAGTTGTTAACTTATTTTTAATGCGATCATAAAAAAATTCAATTAAGGGCCGGTTTTTTAGGGCGACCCGAGATACCCCGAGAAAGATAACTAGTAAGGCAATTCTATCAGTAATGAAGTCAGGAGTATGATCTGACTTAAGATATCAGAAGATCAATAAAATGGTCTGAGAAATAAAGACCAATTTGAATTTTATTTACACTGACTGAAGTATGGTCCAGGGGCTCCTTTTTATTAATTCCTATCCTAATCATAGTCAAAATTGATTCTTTTCATAGTCTAGTACACGGCTATTTGATTCTTCTAGCTGATTTGCTGCAATAAACTCACCATAAGGCAAATAACAGAACTGATCCACTTAAAGTTTAGGCTTGCTCCAATTGAGGCTTTCCACAAATAAGTGTATTCTCTCCTGAACTTACTGAATATTCATTTTATTTTTTTAAGTACTGAGAGTAAATACGTAAGTAAGTAAGAGGATGAAGTCAGTTTAAGAACTAAACTGAGCTATTGCTCTCCTGGATGAGTTGATGCCAACTTTTAAACCAGCATACTAGCTGTAATGATCAGAATCATTTTAGATTCAAATTTATGAATGAAATGATATGTGATGGATCTTTCTTAAGACTAGAACAAATGTTTTTTTTTCATTTGAAAGCTTGTTGACTCAATATGTGACTCAATCCATAGCTTGTTTCCAGTTCCTTATTTTCAGAGCTCGAAGTCGATAGGGTTGAATTATACTCAGCCTCTCTTTCAAGTACTTGATTGCATGGTTCCACTCATTTAGCTCGTGTTACAATTGCCATCCAATGAAGACCAGAAACTTTTTTGCTTTATTTTTTCAGCAAAATGTAAGCATTCTAAGCACCAAAAAAAAAATTTTGGCAGGACGATGGGGCATTTTCTTCTTTAATAAACATGAAAATGCTATAAATGAAATAAAAAAATATTTAAATCCCATAAGTTAAAAAAAAATGTTAATTGTCGGCTGAAATTCCAAATGACCAATATATTCACGTCACGACTTTGATGACGTTATTGATTCGTTAAATTGTGATGAGAAGCTCCTTGCTGATGAATCTGATGACTGTCAAACTTGTTACTGCAATGATCCCTCATTTTTAACACGTCTTTACCACGTTTTTACGCCTGTTAGAATAAAGAATGCTAATATAAATATAAAATCGATATTTTTTTAAAAATAGCCTACTATGATCGAAACCAAAAATGCTTGAAATTTCATTTTAAACATATCTAGGTATTTTAAATGATAAAGAATGCTAATATAATTATAAAATCGATATTTTTTTGAAAATAGCCTACTATGATCGAAACCAAAAATGCTTTAAATTTCATTTTAAAACATATCTAGGTATTTTAAATGATAAAGAATGCTAATATAGATATAAAATCGATATTTTCTTAAAAATAGCCTACTATGATCGAAACCAAAAATGCTTTAAATTTCATTTTAAACATATCTAGGTATTATAAATGATAAAAAATGCTAATATAGATATAAAATCGATATTTTCTTAAAAATAGCCTACTATGATCGAAACCAAAAATGCTTTAAATAGCATTTTTAAACATATCTAGGTATAATAAATGATAAAGAATGCTAATATAGATAAACAATCGATATTTTTTTAAAAGTAGCCTACTATGATCGAAACCAAAAATGCTTTAAATTTCATTTTAAAACATATCTAGGTATTTTAAATGATAAAGAATGCTAATATAGATATAAAATCGATATTTTCTTAAAAATAGCCTACTATGATCGAAACCAAAAATGCTTTAAATTTCATTTTAAAACATATCTAGGTATAATAAATGATAAAGAATGCTAATATAGATATAAAATCGATATTTTTTTGAAAAAAGCCTACTATGATCGAAACCAAAAATGCTTTAAATTGCACTTTAAAACATATCTAGGTATTATAAATGATAAAGAATGCTAATATAGATATACAATCGATATTTTTTTAAAAGTAGCCTACTATGATCGAAACCAAAAATGCTTTAAATTTCATTTTAAAACATATCTAGGTATTATAAATGATAAAGAATGCTAATATAGATATAAAATCGATATTTTTTTGAATTAGCCTACTAAGATCGAAACCAAAAATGCTTTAAATTTCATTTTAAACATATCTAGGTATTATAAATGATAAAGAATGCTAATATAGATATAAAATCGATATTTTCTTAAAAATAGCCTACTATGATCGAAACCAAAAATGCTTTAAATTTCATTTTAAAACATATCTAGGTATAATAAATGATAAAGAATGCTAATATAGATATAAAATCGATATTTTTTTGAAAAAAGCCTACTATGATCGAAACCAAAAATGCTTTAAATTTCATTTTAAAACATATCTAGGTATTTTAAATGATAAAGAATGCTAATATAGATATAAAATCGATATTTTCTTAAAAATAGCCTACTATGATCGAAACCAAAAATGCTTTAAATTTCATTTTAAAACATATCTAGGTATAATAAATGATAAAGAATGCTAATATAGATATAAAATCGATATTTTCTTAAAAATAGCCTACTATGATCGAAACCAAAAATGCTTTAAATTTCATTTTAAAACATATCAAGGTATAATAAATGATAAAGAATGCTAATATAGATATAAAATCGATATTTTTTTGAAAAAAGCCTACTATGATCGAAACCAAAAATGCTTTAAATTGCACTTTAAAACATATCTAGGTATAATAAATGATAAAGAATGCTAATATAGATATACAATCGATATTTTTTTAAAAGTAGCCTACTATGATCGAAACCAAAAATGCTTTAAATTTCATTTTAAAACATATCTAGGTATTATAAATGATAAAGAATGCTAATATAGATATAAAATCGATATTTTTTTGAAAAAAGCTTTAAATTTCATTTCAAAACATATCTAGGTATTTTAAATGATAAAGAATGCTAATATAGATATAAAATCGATATTTTCTTAAAAATAGCCTACTATGATCCAAACCAAAAATGCTTTAAATTTCATTTTAAAACATATCTAGGTAATTTAAATGATAAAAAATACTAATATATATATAAAATCGATATTTTTTTGAAAAAAGCCTACTATGATCGAAACCAAAAATGCTTTAAATTGCATTTTTAAACATATCTAGGTATAATAAATGATAAAGAATGCTAATATAGATAAAAAATCGATATTTTTTTGAAAAAAGCCTACTATGATCAAAATCAAAAATGCTTTAAATCTGATACGAACAATTCATGTTCGACAGACTTATCGAAAGTCTAGGGGAGTTATAATATGCACGTTCGAAAAGTTTAAATTTGAAAAAAACCGTTACAATTTTGTTGATTTTATTGGAGTTTTTGATAGTTTTGAAAAACATTTATCTATATTATGCTTATCATTAAATGACTACATAATATTTCATCTAAATTTCATAAAAATCTTACTTAATTTAAGTTTTAATTTTTTCCTAATTTTCGAAAATTTTGAATTGCAGGGTATGAAATTTCGAATTTTGTATGGCAGACAGACAAATAAGATATTTTCACAAGTTTTCTTGGAAACTGTAACGGTCGAAACCATCGAATTGTTCGTATCAGCTTTAAATTTCATTTTAAAACATATCTAGGTAATTTAAATGATAAAAAATACTAATATATATATAAAATCGATATTTTTTTGAAAAAAGCCTACTATGATCAAAATCAAAAATGCTTTAAATTTCATTTTAAAACATATCTAGGTATCATAAATGATAAAGAATGCTAATATAGATATAAAATCGATATTTTTTTGAAAAAAGCCTACTATGATCAAAATCAAAAATGCTTTAAATTTCATTTTAAAACATATCTAGGTATAATAAATGATAAAGAATGCTAATAAAGATATAAAATCGATAATTTTTTGAAAATAGCCTACTATGATCAAAACCAAAAATGCTTTAAATTTCATTTTAAAACATATCTAGGTATTATAAATGATAAAGAATGCTAATATAGATAAAAAATCGATATTTTCTTAAAAATAGCCTACTATGATCGAAACCAAAAATGCTTTAAATTTCATTTTAAACATATCTAGGTATTATAAATGATAAAGAATGCTAATATAGATATAAAATCGATATTTTTTTGAAAAAAGCCTACTATGATCAAAACCAAAAATGCTTTAAATTGCATTTTAAAACATATCTAGGTATAATAAATGATAAAGAATGCTAATATAGATATAAAATCGATATTTTTTTGAAAATAGCCTACCATGATCAAAATCAAAAATGCTTTAAATTGCATTTTAAAACATATCTAGGTAATTTAAATGATAAAAAATACTAGTATATATATAAAATCGATATTTTTTTGAAAAAAGCCTACTATGATCAAAATTAAAAATGCTTTAAATTGCATTTTAAAACATATCTAGGTATAATAAATAATAAAGAATGCTAATATAGATATAAAATCGATATTTTTTTGAAAAAAGCCTACTATGATCAAAATCAAAAATGCTTTAAATTGCATTTTAAAACATATCTAGGTAATTTAAATGATAAAAAATACTAATATATATATAAAATCGATATTTTCTTAAAAATAGCCTACTATGATCGAAACCAAAAATGCTTTAAATTGCATTTTTAAACATATCTAGGTATAATAAATGATAAAGAATGCTAATATAGATATAAAATCGATATTTTTTTGAAAAAAGCCTACTATGATCGAAACCAAAAATGCTTTAAATTTGATTTTAAACATATCTAGGTATTATAAATGATAAAGAACTAATATAGATATAAAATCGATTTTTTTTGGAAAAAGCCTACTATG